TCACATATAGTGTACCATATCCGCTCGGCAGGCGCCATATCCGTTTTTGCTTCCGACTTTACACATTTCAGAAAAATCATGCATCAGTGAAACATTTGATTTGTACTACTGATAATAAATTTAATGTTGAACTTTCATATTTATAATGTAAAGCATATGATAAAAAGTAAATGATAATATATAATATAAGTCTTTCTTCGTTTTACGAGAATACATTCTATGACAATTACACTTTGACAGCAATTTTCACGTGCAATAATATCTATAGAGAAAACCATTCTATGAATAGCAACACGTAGTGACCTAAGATACATGAACTCATCCCTTAAATCTGTACAAATTTTGTTAAAAATCTGTTAAGACATGAGGTAGCAGTATAATAATAATATACAACATTTATATAGCGCCCTACATAATTTGTAAAATTACTCTAAGGCGCTTTACAGCATATGGATAATAGTAATGGTTATAATTGTGAAAACAAACAACAAAGGCTTGCAATCACTTTCATACATTTAACAAGCAATGTGCACATAATTGAACAAATAAAAGGGTGGTATTTACATTACGTCTTTGCAAAGATTCTAAAATGCAGACGTGAAGAGGTGAGTTTTTATGTCCCTCTTGAACTTGGCCAGGGTATTTGACTTCCTAATAGCAGATGGTAAGCTATTCCACAACTTAGACGAAACCCTCCCAAAGCATATGTTTCCGTTGGTCACAGTACGAGATTTTGGGACACACAAAGATTCTGACTCCGACCGCAGTGATCTTGACGGCTGATACAGGGTAACAAGCTCCTGTAGGTACTGAGGAGCTGTTCCATTCAGTGCCTTGTATGTGTATACCAGAATTTTGTACTGCGACCTGTATCGTACAGGTAACCAGTGCAACGAATAAAGCGCAGGTGTGATGTGCTCTCTCTTTCGAGTACGAGTAACTAGTCATGCTGGATCCTCTGCAGACGACTAGTAAGTTGGTCAGATATACCACAGAGCAGGGCTTACCATAATCCAACCGAGAGGTAACAAGTGAATGCACCAAAGTCTTGCATGCATCTGCAGTTAGAAACTGCCGAATACAGCCGATGTTCCTGATCTGGTAGTAACAGGATTTGGCAATAGCGTTCACTTGTTTCTCCATGTTCAGAGAACTGTCAAAGTATACCCCTAGGTTTTTAACAGCTGGAACAGTCTCAATAGTTCTGGCACCAACCTTGAGCTGGAGAGCCATTGTTTGCTGACACTTTGGGGAAAAGACGATTAGTTCCGTCTTTTCCTGATTAAGTTTAAGCATGTTGGCGTTCATCCAGATACTGATATCTGTCAGACAAGCTTCCAGACTTTCTGAGACTGTATTCCAACTGTCCTGTGGTTTTATGACCATGTAAATTTGTGTGTCATCAGCATAGCAATGATAGCGAAGGCTATGGCGACGACAAATCTCTCCAATCGGTTTGGAGTACATACAATATTTTCGTGGTCCTAACACCGACCCTTGAGGAACCCCGAAATCTAGTACTTTGTCATGTGAGGTGGCAGATCCGATGGCAACACACTGTCGTCGTTCACTCAGGTATGACTGTATCCAGCATAGTGCGGTATCAGTCACTCCATAAGAGTATTCCAGACGTTTATAAAGTATGCCATGGTCGATGACGTCAAATGCAGCTGACAAGTCCAGCATGACAAGCACCGCTCTGCACTTGTTATCCAATGCAGAAGCTAAATCACTATGTACACGTAGGAGGGCCGTCTCAGTAGAGTGTCCCATGCGGTAGGCCGATTGCATGTTGTCATGGAGACTGTCTGCATGGAGATGAACCTCTAAACGCCGGGAATGTGAAGGGTTGTGGCCATGGGTGTAGAGGGTTGTGGCCATGGGTGATGTTTTTGTTAAATGGCTAACCCCTGTATAATGATATGTACAAAAAATATAAAAATAAAACAGTTCTAAAATTGGTATAAGCATGATGAAGAGGGCTATGTGAGCTTCACATTTGTAAAAAAAAAAGTTTTTGGTTCGAGATCAAAACTTTGGCCATAATCCGAAATGGTGCATACACATGAAAAGCTAGCTTTACAGGAGGTAAAATTTTGACAACAGCACACGACGCAAAATTGCAAAAAATCAAGTTTTACAATTTTACTGGGACCCAGATAATTCTGCAACCAGGTAGGTAATCTTTAATTTCAGACAGAACTTAGGACAGAAATTACTAGTTGCGGGGGTCAAATTTTGGGTTAAAAATAGCAATATTTAGCATTTTTTGGTAATTTTTGATGTGGTAACCATGGTTTTCACACAAGTGACATACTTAGAAAAAAGAGGTTTATACACTTCTCAGTACTTTATATGTATTGTAAATGTAATGCAGTTTACAAATATATATACATGTATACATGTGTTGTGTAGGGTAAATCCGCTGTGTTTACATTTCCTCCACATTTGCCTTGTTTATCAGAGTCGGGCCATTTCTACTGTATACTGCTACCTGAAGTACCTAGAGTGATTACTGATGACTTTCTATATATATACCAACAGTGACCTTGGCCTTGACCTTCGAACCCTGCAACACAAGATGTCTGACGTATTATCACATCCGACCGTTGTACAAATTATGATTAAAATCCATCAGGAAATAAAGTTAGTAGACTGATGACACTGAATTGGTTGATGATATTCTATAAATAGCAATGGTGATCTTGGCCTTGACATTGGAATCCTGAAACATGAACCCACCAGAGGTATTCTCATACTTAAAATTCGTATAAACTTTGATGAAAATCTGTTAAGACATGAAGTACATAGCTACAGTTGGACAATTTTCTATATACAGCAATATCGACATTTGCCTTGATTTTGGAACCCTAAAATTCAAAATACACAGGTATGCTCATACATGACCTTTGTATAAAGTTCGAACAAAATCCGATGAAGAATGAAGTTGCTGTAGTGTTTACATTTTGTATCGCGAAGGGACGGGTGGGCAACGCGATGGCAGGACACTCTCAAACTATTTAAATTGAAAGTTAATGAAAGTCGCTGTAAGTAACACCGAATCATCGTCCTGCCCCGTTCTCTCTGGAGGCCCTCATGGCTCAGTCATGGAGCCCTGTCTTTTTTCTAATCTACATTAACGATATGCCAGACTCTATCACAAGCCAAGTTAGACTTTTTGCATATGACATTATTGTCTATGTAACCGTTTCATCTGACTCGGACGCAAAAACACTTCAAACAGATTTGAATCTTCTGGAAAAGTGGGAACAAGACTGGCTCATGTCCTTCAACCCTGATAAAAAGGATTGACACACACATTTAACTTCATTCTTCATGAACAAATTCTCAAGCAAGCAGATTCGGCAAAATTCCTGGGCTTATGCGTAGTCAACTGTGACGGACAACTTGTACATTTATACGCTGATTGAGATTCGTTGCTTGTTATCATGTACGCGCCAGCTATACAACTGTATGCCTCGACCCTGCAAAGCATCCTATCAGTACGGAATACGAAACGTTGACGTCGCATCACAGACAGAACTGACATGCGTGTATTTTACTTCCGGTGAATCCCAAAAATAAAGGCAATGTTGCAGAAAAAAATGTATATTAACGCAATAAATGTAATGACCGGTTGTGCCATAGCTGAGGTCCGGAGATCGGATACCCGTGTAAAAGATGTTTTGTGCAAAAGAAACTTATTATAACAGCCATTCTTCATATATTCCTCTTTACTATAGCAAATGGGCAAGTAACTACAGGTTAGAAAAAGGTCTAAAAATTGGAACTCTTCTTCGAGAGAGATAAAACACAGAACGACGGGATTATCTTCCTTAATGTGAATAATGTTGTGTTTCGTTCATGATTCAGACAGAAATAAAGGGTGATATGAATAGATAATGACAGAGTACAGTACTGATATAACAAATTATTCGTGGTCACTCATCACATTCTGTTCACTCCAAAACTTCCGTGGGACCTCATCTTCTAAAAAAATCACACTGGAAATGGAATTTGCGAAGTCGTTGCCGGCACAAGTTTTGTAACCGAAATTTCATCTAAAATCGTTAGATGGCCAAACATCTGCATATATGATTATAACTACGGGGCTATTAGAGGTAGTATAAAGATTAGGGTTCCTCGTGAGAAACATCACAACAAGTCGACATTTGGCGACAGTTTCTCCGAATGTTTGAAAAACCCACGATGAAATGACAGGTCGTTTAAACCACTGACAGGAACCTGATAGTTTTGGATCTAAACCAAGGTGTTAAGAGTAATTTTACATGTTTAATGGGTTGAGATCGACTTTCAGTAAAAATGATATCCCAATGATCATATACGAATAGGCTGAAAGCTCTCGATGTCGAAAAGTCGATCCCACCTAACTTTCTTGCATCAAAAACAACGTTTCTAGTTGATCTACGGTAAAATACTCAGTACCGTTGGACAGATGGATAATTTCTTTCAAAACCTAACTATATGCACGTAAAATGTATATTCTCCTTCCGCGGACATGCTATCCGTTTCCTCCAAAAACACACGCCATTTCAGAGTTTTTCGCAGTCATCGTAATGAGGTTGACGCCAGTCTCGAGCCGAAACAAATGACTGCGCTTCCAGCCAATCACACCACGGGTCTCAACTTCATTAATATGCAAAAAAAAGTGGAATGGTGACTGCGAAAATATTAAGCCTATTTTTTTCAATTTCATTTCAGCAATCAACAGCCAGTGAAAACTAACGTTAGCCAACTCGAGTAAGATAAAAAAAAATGATAACAAGCCATAACTCGTTGGGGAAACTCTATTTGTATTTAAAATAGCATTACATTGCTAGCATAATGCTATATTACAACATAATTGATCGTTTATCGTTAAAGACAATTTCTTTCTCGTTATTTTACCGCTGAAAATATAGGTTAAGATAAATTCCTTTGTGCCCATGTCAGTTGACGTCCTGTTTTCAGAATTTTAGTCAGATCCAAAATATACCTTCACCAAATCTACTTCCGGTATAGGAGAGGTGACGTTGTCTATATTGCGGAGTAGTAGCATCGGCCTAGCATAACATTTCACGATGGCGGGCATGCAGTTTGAATATGACGAAGAAGGAGGGACGTTTTTCTACTTTCTTTTGTCATTTTGGAGTTTATGTCTTATCCCAGTAACTGTCTACTACTTCTGGCCATCCAATACAACACATGGTAAGATCTTTTAATCGAGACTAATATAGAAACGCTCCGTCACAAAAGGGGTTTCCCAAAATTTGGAGTTTCCTTTTATAATCAAATTTATTGCTGATGAATTAAATACGAAGCAAGCCTAGTGTAAGATGCGTATGGTTTATATGTCAAACTTATTCAAACAATATACGTGTCTAAATATGATGGGTTGTCACAAATAAGTTGTTGCTTGTGTTACAATACCATCCATATGTTGGTCCAATACCGAATGCAAGACAAGATTTTTTTTCATCATCTTTCATGTAATAAACATAGAACAGTAGAGACCAGCAACTTGTATGTGGGAGCGTTGGTGGGAATACGGCCAGAATACTACCGTATATATGACCCATTACTACCCATATCTACACAATTTTATCAAACAGACCACATGCTTGAATTGTAAAGTGTTGTTTGCTTTTTGTCTGTGTTGGGTAGTATTGGGTCTAAATATTTTGCAGTAATGGGTCATATCTAGCAGTATATTTGGCAGTAGTAGGTCATAGTCACATTTTTTTGAAGTAGAATTGGGTACTATTGGGCATTTAACGTGCCCCTTGTAGGCAACAGTATCAGAGTCAATACAATCAAATTGTAAACATATGGTGAAGTTGATTATCACAAGTCTAGTAGAAGTTAAGGAGTTGTAAATATGTACTACATCTTGTTGTAAAAGAAACTCCAGAAAAAAAAAGATTAAAAAAACATAGATACACAAAAAACCTACATGACACAAGAAACATTCAATGGATCATGTTTTATCCACCGAAAAGTAGCAGGATTTCACCTGGACCACAACTGTAATTTGAAGTCAACAGTTCCTTATACTAGTTCTGGTTCTGGTCAGTAATCAGCAACGTCCTATCACACTGATTGTACATGTACGACATGTACTTAATTATAAAATAATGGCAGTGTCCAAAAAGTTCATTGAATAAAACTATGTACACCAGTGTCTGTCTACTAATTGGACAGAGTCTTAGATAACTTTAATTTAGAAACGTACTGTATATAAACGGGATATTTTTGCCGCAGTTTAATTTCCGTCTTTTTTCAACATCTGTAGTGAGGGCAAATTTATCATTATTACAGCGACTTTAAGCAAAAAAACAAAATATATGCATAGAAATAATGTGTAAAGGGCAAAATGAACACTGGGTAAATATTGATTTTACAGGCAAAGGGTGAAAGTTTTCCAATGTATAGTATCATTATCAAAATGGTAATTCAGTATGTAGCATGAGGGCTGCTACCATAAATTTGTGAAACATTGAAATAAAAAATAAGAGTAATGATCATGAGGGTTTGTGCCAAACAGGAGATTATACCCATTCTATAAATAGGACTGTAGCTTGATCCTATCCTATTCAAGATAGCAGTTTAACCCATTGTGTATGAGACTGTCCTGTAGTGGTGGTTCGATTAATTTGACTTTGTCCACTATTGGTCAGATAGGCAAATAAATTAACAGGTTTCATGATCGATTTTCGTTGTAAGATTTATGTAGATATTAGAGTGATTCATGATTTCAAGCTCATTTCCTTATCATTCTTGCTTAGGACTATAAATTACAGATTTGATGTTTGAAGGAAGGTATTTCTTCAATTGTATCATTTTTGATTTGCGTCGGCAACTCGCAACAACAGCATGGTGGATTTTATGATTTATTTCTTTAAAACGTCTATAATTTGATCATCGTTTAGTTAAACGTAACCAATGATCGATCATAAGATTTCAGCTGTTTTCCAACACTACTACTATCCAGTTAAAAAACATAAACATATTACATAATCTTGATTTTGTCTCCATCTCACTGGTAGTTTAATAGTCAGCGCTGATCTCACCAACCATTAAACATAAGAATGGATTTTCTAATACTTTAGCACCAATTAATTGTTATGTTATGGTAATGAGATATATTATTTTGTCCTTGTCATCGTTTTGCCTGCCATTATCATTAAGTTCAAGTTATAGGATTTTACTCCTTCACCCCTGAAATTTCATAATGAACTATTCCAGCTTTTGAATTAGAAGAGTTCAAATGCGTCTTTAGGGGTGAATGAGTTAAGAGGGGCCATTCTATGTAAGATTAAAAGAAAACTGGAACATGGAGGGGTCAATTTCGGTTTTGAGGGGTCAATGGCCCCATGACCCCCTCTGGGGTTGAATGAGTTAAAGCAAATTGAATATTGGTACAGGATAATCATGAATAAAGTTTTTGCAGAGAACTAATACCTATAAAAACATGTTTACGTAGATAATATCATGGCCGCATATATATAAACACAAGACCACACAAATGTCTTCATCTAAGTCCATGTTTCATATGCACAGTCCTAGATGTATTTGTCTGCATAAAAGCTCATACCATCTGCCACATTAACACACACCAGTGACCAGCTGGTATATTTAATATTGATTTATATATATACATGAATGTAATATAAACTTATTATGAAAATTGTTTAGGTCGTAAGGCAGATAAGTTTCAACTTATGATTGTTTAGTTATGCTTCTATTTCTCAAAAAGTTACGTTACCAGTAACATTGTATAGGATCTCTTTAAAGACTGGAATATTGTCCAGGGTTGATCCTAAAGTTGGTTGTCTAGAAAACTCTGTAAGTAAAGTCTGAGAAATAGTCAAATAGGTTTGAAATGATACTTTAACAATATGACTACAGTTTATCCCATTCTCTTTTTTTTTCTTTTTTTTCCCTTCTATTTTCAGTAGTCTTGATTTGTTCTATTGTTGCTTGTTTTTAACCAGTAGAAGAACTTCCTGCTTCCTACCAGTTTGACTACCGGTATACCACAATGGTATAAATTAAAGCAAACACGAGTTTTATCACTTCCCACTGCTGTTTATTCCACAGGTTGCAATGACCTGGAATCACATGTTTTTGGAGAGATGAGCATGTTATAACAGTATATATACATTAGGTATTAATTAATACAGAAATATATTTTTGTTTAAATAATTAATCTTCTTGATTTTTGATGTAATACCGTGTGATTCTTTAAGCGTTTGATAACAATCAGTTATATGCAGGCAAACAGCTTGAGGGCCATCAGATCAGTATGGAGAGAGCTAGAACAGATAGGAAGATTGCGTTACTATGACACTTGATGGTTCTGTATAGCCCATAGCTATATATACATACATATCATTTAAGGTCAAAAGTCACTTCCTGGTTCACCTTCACACATATATATAGAATGTATAGTTTTAACTGTACAGTCATATAAGGATGTTGAGTGTTCCTCGGGTTGGTTTTATTCCGATGAATAAAATGCATGTTGAATTATTTTATGTAAACTTTTTTTTTTTACCATTTATAAAAATAAGTTCTTTCATCTTATATTGATCATTCTTGCTGCCCCCGCGAATGAAAGCTCACAGTGGGTCTTAGTGTGGGAAGAAACCTGCAGAGTACCCAGAGAAAACCCACGTGGTTGGACTGGTGACCTCTACTTGTACAAATTCCGCTTTGCTACCTGTACATACATGTACTAAAGTGGAGAATAAGGCAGACAGCTGATGGTGGAAAGTTGCATAAATGAAGTTCTTTAAAACAATTCTCAGAACAAATTATCCAAATTCTGATTAAAATCATTTATATTTTTAAAGAACTCAATAAATTCCTAAATAATTTACTTTGCACATATATATATTTTTCAAATTAAAGATTATCAGTTACATATAAACAGGTAGATCAGTTTGATTTTCAAGTATAAATGACCTTTCTCATTATGTTTTTGAGCAATTTTAATAAGTAACAATAGCAAAGTTTCGACATGTGGAAACATTTGTTCGGGGTCTTCTATTTAGCAGCAAAAAACCTAGATACATATATCTTCCTCTATATGACTTCCTCCGTCGATATCGACGATTACGGAAGTCGGTCTTGTGCTGTAGTGCGTTAATTGTTATGTACAGTGATTTTTTTTATTAAATTTTTATTTTTTGCTATAGGATAAAAACGGGTTAAAAGCAGTGAGTGTTAGGATATGTTGTAGGTTTTGTATATGTTCGATTATGTTATATGTGGTGCATGTCCTGAATTCTGCTAGTGTCTCTGATTTGATTATTGTTTTGGGTAGGAGGTTCCACTGTATTATGGTGTATGGAAAGAATGAGTGTCTGTATGTGTCTTTGGATGTGTAGATATGTCTGTAACTACGGCCGTGTCCTTGACGTGTTCTGGTGTCTGAGGGGATAAGATTGTTAGTGTGTATTGCTACTTGTTGGTGTATTATTTTGTAGAGAAGAATAATACGTTTTCTTGTTCTGCGTGTGTGTAGTGCATGCATTCAAACAATCATTTGATGTTTTCTGTTCAAACATACATTCTGAATACGTAATTATGATTTTGTATACAAGTTTACTCCTGTCCTGTGTTTTATGGTCTGTCGAATAAGATGTTACACAAAATATCCAATGCTGATGTTTAAAATTGCCGAATATCAATGCAGTTTTAATTCACCATGTTCATACTTTTGACATAATACTTAGTAGATCATGTTGTTTGAATCATTGATTTTTTTTTCATTTACTGATCATGTAATAAGTTAATTTATTCATCCCTGAAATTTCATAATGAACTATTCAGGATAATTTGATTTTGGTAAAGTCAGGTCAACAGACACACTGTCTTACCTGATTGAACTATTCCAACCTTTGAATTGGAAGAGTTCAAATGTGTCTTCAGGGCTGAATGCATGAAGACAGGTTTAGTTACATTTACGCTGTCTTTTCTGATGAAACAATTGTGTCATTGATGTCGTAAAAGACAGGTTTTACAAAAACAGTTTTATAGGAACATATTAATCAACACCTTTGACTTTTCAAATTATGAATTTTATGTGATAAATAGAATTTTACATTCGTGTCCATGTCATTTTGAATTTATTAAACTTGTTCAATAATATGACATGGACACTCATGTAAAATCTTCTATATGTCAGTAAACACAGGTTTTTGACTCAGTTTCTGGGCTAACCAAGTGATTCAGACCCTTTGATGTCTAGGTTTTTCCAAAAACACTGGTTTATCAACGCAGATTATTCAGTCCCTTTGACGTCGGTAGTTACTGTATTATCTGAACGAATTATTAACTCATCCACCCCTGAAATTTCATAATAAACTATTCCGTCCTTTGAATTGGAAGAGTTCAAATGTGTCTTTAGGGGTGAATGAGTTGAATCTCCCTTAATGTCAATTGTAAAAACAGGTTTCACCTTATCCACATCTTGTTTTATAGAGCCTGAGAAAGAAAAGAGAAAAGGCTGTAACTGTGAACCGTGTCAACTGAAAAAGAACCGACTGAAGGCCAACTCGAAATGGGACAAAACCAGGGACAGTGCTGTGTAAGTTTGAATTGGTAGTATATTTAAGGGTTGGACGTCTGTCAGATGGCAGTTACAGCCCATATGAATGCAATCTGGGTGACAGATAAGTAGAATGACGTCCATGAGCTAGGACTTCATGATCATTTATCTGTCAACCAAATTGCATTCATATTGGCTGTAACTGCAATCTGACAGACGTTCAATCGTTATATTTACATTTCCTCATGCGACCTGTCTTTTATTAATTAGTCGAATGAGCTTAATTTATATTTCCTGCTGCCACAAAACCTCACTGGTCCAATTCTTGGAACAGCCACAGACGGCCATTATCCGACTGAAAACTTTCCAAACAACGGTCGCCATTAAAAAATATAACCAGTCGACAACTGTTTAATGCAGTTAAATGCTCTAATTATATGTGAAGAACATTCTTAAACAAAAGTAAGGAACTTACCTTTCTATTCTGCATGTCTTCATTAATTGTCTGCAAAACCCGTCAAAATGCGACCTGTATGAACCAAACAACAAAAACAAATGGGGGCTATCGTACAAATTGATAACGTCGCTGTAACAGTGGGAGTGGTTGCTAACACTGACGTCAAGGAAACCATGGTCATGTGACCAGACTGCTGTTACTGTCCAGTAACAGTGGGCTGACTTTCCAGTTTCCATAGAGTTAATTGAATATGGGAAGGGCTTATGTGAATATAAATAGATGTATGCATAGGATAAAGGTTTTGATGACAGAAGGCTGTTAGACAATCAAGGATAAGGTTTTGATGACAGAAGGCTGTTAGACAATCAAGGATAAGGTTCTCTAAACATCTTATGAATTTGTTGATGTGGTTGCCTCTTCCGTTCATATAATGATTTATTCATCATTTTCATTCACAGAAAATTCGGGCTCATCATTGGGTGGATAATTTTGATAGCCCTTGCGTACAAAGTGTCGAAGATTCAGATGGACTATGTGGAATACGACCCCTACATGGAGCTTGCTATAGACCGGGTTGGTATAACGTTAGCTGTCATGATGACTAAACATTTACAAAAGAATCGCGAATAGGTAAAATGGAAGATATTTTGATGAATGGAAGGATGATAAATCAATGTGCACTGTAGGATATTTTTGTTAAAAGTATAAGTCTAGCTTGCTTACATAATGTGGTTGTATTTCTCTAGAACGTAATCAAACAGGCTGCTTGTATTTCTTTAAAACAAATCTCAATTGAATCATCAGTATTTCTTTTCTGATTACCCGGTATATGATTTTCTGCACCCGTGAACTGAAGTCTTGATCTTTCTATAAGAAAGTCCTATTTACGATATTTAATAGGGTGCATCACAAAAAGAAATAAAGAAGGCTTATCGAGCGATGAGTTTGAAGTACCATCCGGACAAGGAGACGGGCGACCCTAAGAAGTTCATGAGAGTGGCTAAGGCTTATGCAGCGTAAGTACTGGGTTATTCTCCTCAATCTTTAAAGTTGCAATTAGTTTGGTTCCGATAATTGATTATAAAAAAAAATCAATCGATCGTACAACCAATTCAAATTAATCGATTGATTAATTTCATAATTGATTAATTGGTTTAAATGTTGCAATCTGTTTTCTGTTTACATCTGTCGGATTTACTCGTTACTCAAATTTCAGTGGTAGGTTAAAACTAAAAGTATATAAGCCTTTTATGGCAAAATTACCCTACACTGCAAATCCCAATTCTAATCATCATAATTACACATATTTCAAATAGATTTACCAGAGTTTGGATGTTCCGTTTATAATCAATAATTGTTCATTAAAAGTCTTCCGATAATCGATTATAATTTCCACTTCCGATTCCCAACACTTGTTGCAATCGCCCTGATTGGTTGTAGGTTGTATAGGGTTTAATGTCTTATCAACAGCTAAGTTCATTGAAGGACATATCTCCATGTGTGTTTTGTACGCGTGGATGTATGTATGTGTGCTGGCGGCAGGGTATGTTGGTGTATTTGCCTCTCTATGATAGTAACGATTTTATGATGACTTTATAGTGCTGCCTCGCTGAAAAAAACATTCTGGAGGCACCCAGCACAGCATTTTGCCTGGACATATTATACTTACAAAGGGTTGGTCGTGCGGTAAATGCATTTGATCCCTGTACAAAAAATGTATTTTATATAAATTATTATAGAAAAATAGAGATCATATTTTCAAAATGGTTATATTGGGTTTTTTTGGCACTTTTCAAGGAAGCACTTTTAAAGCAAAAATAGCTCTCTTTCATAACCCCTATTTTTTTTAAAAGAGGTGAAAAATGTAATATGCTTCCTACCTACCAACCTGAATTTGTTTAGACATGAAACATAAAACAAACATTTGTTTGGCCTTAGTTACAAATTTCATCCCAAAAATTATTTGTATGTTTGCTATCATGTGCAGCTGTACAGCAAAGTGACAAAGCTATAATTCTGACTTCACAGATTAACAGATGAAGACACGAAGAAAAATTGGGAGGAGTTTGGTAATCCCGACGGACCAGGAGGTATGTAATCTGGCTTCATGTGTACCATACTGACCTCCATCCTCAATACTCCAGGGGTTACACTCACTTACAGTCTCTTGGTGTACTCACTTACGCTTTCAGTGTGTATCATACTGACATAAATCCTCGATACTCCAGGGGTTATGCTCACTTATTTTCTTTTCACCTCTGGAATATGTCATAGCAAAATTGAAGGCACAAAAATAGCTACTTGATTGGTATCGGATAAAAAAACAACCAATCGCAAGGCTGAAACCTGTCCTTTGAAGTTTATTGAGGAGTGAAAGTTGACTTCACAGCCGGTCAATTTTACCGTCATTCTGCTACGCGATTTCCAGATGTACGTCAAAGAATCAATTTAGTCTTCATGCATCGTCCACAAGGTGATATATTCCAGGGGCGCAGAGAGTTAGTGAGTTTAATCCTTTCACCCCTATGTAACTTTCGTAGACTCTACCATGCATTGATATGGATGAGTCCATTGCAGTCTACAGTGGTCAAAGGGTTAACCTCTGGAATATTGAGAATGACTGACCACAGTTATCAGATTAGCTGTGATGATATTCTCTATAATACAGGGGGGGGGGGGATCTTAAGACACATAAAAAATGGTTATTCAAGGTAGAATTATTTGTGAAAACAACTTGTTTATTTCAATATTTCTATAAAAAAATCTGGAAATAGACACCTCTGTTCGATAAAAGATCACCTGACAAATTTGTTTAAATGTATTTCTGGAAATGGTCGCCCATATTTGTTTTGAAGCCTCACCTGGCCGAATGAATTGGTACTCCTACAACCTACTTTGTAGCTTATAATTGGGATATTATGTAGGTACAAAAAACTAATTTCGTTGATATGATTAATTTTCTAGCTACGAGATTTGGTATTGCATTGCCAAAATGGATTGTCGAGCGGGAAAATTCCATGTTGGTGAGTACCATAAAAAAACCTGTTTGATTCAAAATTGATTTTATGTTGACATCTATATTCACTATGTCAATATTTTTGTAAACGAATACCATTAAAAAAAAAGTTTGTTTTTGAGAATATAAGATGATAAAAAAATGTTAATAGAGTTAATATTATTCCAGAGCTAAAACATCTGAGGCTAAAGTATTTGTGAAGTGAAATTGTAAAAATATTTTCTTCAGAAGATGACAACCCTGAGATATCATAATTCTACATGATAATTTCTTCATCTTTCTGTGATGTACCAGTAATTAATAAGAATGTGAATGATATGCAAACTAACAATTAGGGGATAGGAGAAAAAGGATCCTTACTAGGCTTTCTTCATTATACATTTTAATGTTCATATGAAATGACATTTCTTGCCCTGGTTGTAGGGAAACATTGTTTGTTTCTCCGAGATTAACTAATTATGTATCAGGAAGGCGAAGAGCCCTCATGAAACACGATTATCTCAGGGAAACAAAGAATCATGTTTCTCTATCACAAGGGCAAGTATTGTATCATACAGTAATAAAACAATAGTTGAGATGTTCAGGTTGATACACCCATTCGTTTCGTCTGCTTTAGTCATTCGGAACTCAGGTTAGGTGGCCTTTTCATATCTCTCTAGAGAGGCTTCGAAAAAATGGAAATATGATCATGAAAACTCGAGTGTGTGAGGGTGTTTTATTTCCCCATCATGTGATCAATTTTATATCCAATCAGACAAACTGTAAACATTAATTTTGTTCAGCTCTAGAAATTTTTCCATATTGGTTATGTTATTTATTTATTTTTCAGGTCTTGGCTGCGTATGGTTTAATCTTCATGATCATCTTACCCGTGGTCGTGGTGAGTCCCATTTTCAGATCTTCGTTATACAACATTATTCCAGAAAAATAGATTTACACGTTTTAGAAAAGTATTTCTCTCTCAACTCCAATAACGGCAATAGTTTTCCACCGATATATTTTGCGGTTCAGTAGAAATGCAAGCCAAAGTTTATTACCTTAACTGGTACAGAGTTCTGTAACAAGCTCATCACAAGTTATGTACACGGTGTTGATGTCATGTTTGGATCAGGTGGCAGACAACAGGTTCGACTGGAGCTGGTTTAAAAATTGAGTTTTCATCCTCAGGGTATTTGGTGGTACCGCTCCATCAAGTTCAGCAAGGACCAGGTGTTGCTGGATACGACTCGGCTCTACTATTTCTTCTTCCAGAAGGCACCCAACATGATGCTGAAACGTAAGGCCATCCACAGCAGAACTTTCTCTTATCTATGAAATTGAAAATATTGTATACTGGAAAATGTTAATGGTCATTTTCAATCTCTTTTATTGAGAAGGGAGGAGGGGGGGATTATTCTGGTGGCAAATTTATTTTCACTGGAAATTATATACAAACCAAATTTGACAGTAAAGGGTAAAAAAGATTCAGTGCCTCATGAATATTCAGTGGTATTGATATTACATATTGTTTTGATTGGTTGGCGGTTGATTCTTCAGCTGAATGAATTTCATTCCATGCATGATGCGATTTTTGCAATTACATATTCATAATAATACCGAACCAGAAATGTATGACAAATACAGGAATTAAAAATCAGTAAAAAAATATTTCGAAAGTTGTTAAACTTTGACAATGTGGTAATTTGAAATCATTATTTTATTATAAAATCCACAGGTTGTATAATGGTGTTGGGCGCGTCATTTGAATTTGACAAATTCCACAACAAAGAGGTTGTGGAGCGGCCGAGCGACAACGAAGAAGTCCCACAGGTATGTACAATATCCTACTGGTCAAGTTGTCCAGTTCAATTGGTTCATAGAGCTGGATGTTGACCTTTGACCTAAAACCAATTCACCCAGTGGTGAATTAATGTTCCCAGTGGTTTTGGAATTGCGTTATAAATCTGATTGTAATTTTAGTTAAAATTTTGTTTCCATGTTTAATTCTTCCTCTGCTTCTAGGGTCAAATAGTGAAAATATATAATACGATATCATTAAACAAATCTTGAATTGGGATAAAAAAAAATAAGTTAAAATAAGTTTAAAAAGACGAAAATTATACACCAATTGGGCTTAAAAATTTAGTTGACCATGCAACAGTGACATCTAACATCCTTAACACTCTTTCATGAATAAGGATGTTTAAATCTTTCAGATGATGATTTGTAAAGATAATATGGGTTTAGGGTATAGTTTTGAAACTTCCACTTTTCTGTACTGCGACATACTACTCATTTCCAGAGCCACAGGCAATCTTCCTCAAAAAGCAGGGAAAAAACCTTTCACATCTCTCCTTTAAATTAAATATTATCACATCTCTGGTGCCTAACTTTACACACATCATTATTCTACTTACAGTTGATTAAACGATTGCCCCATCTTGACGAGAAGAATAAGGAGAAGCCGCTATGTTTCCCCTACAGTGTCAAAGCCAGGGCTCTCCTCCACGCACACTTTAACCGACTGGACCTCCAATCCTCTACTCTGGAGCAAGGTAAGTACCACCCATCAGGCAATGAGCTTTTATATCCAGAGAAATAAACCCATTGGTTCTACTACCTTGAGTTCCTTAAGGCCAAATAAAACAAAAATATGTGTTTCTGCAAACCCTATTCCCTTATTGAGCGGAAATCAAAATCCAGGGACAATGTAGAAAGGGTCGCCAAGTTTACAAGCAACATCAGGTAGTAATACGCACTAGCTTGTTGAAAAGCATTGACTAGATAGCTCAAACACGACTTGGACGAGCATTGATTAGATAGCTTAAACACGGCTTGGACGAGCATTGATTAAATAGTTCAAACACGACTTGGATGAGCATTGATTAAATAGCTCAAACATGACTTGGACGAGCATTGATTAGATAGCTCAAACATGACTTGGACGAGCATTGATTAAAATAATTCAAACACGACTTGGACGAGCATTGATTAAAAAGCTCAAACACGACTTGGACGAGCATTAATTAGACAGCTCAAACACGACTTAGACGAGCATTGATTAGATAGCTCAAACAAGACTTGGACGAGCATTGATTAAATAGCTCAAACATGACTTGGACGAGCATTGATTAAAATAATTCAAACACGACTTGGACGAGCATTGATTAAAAAGCTCAAACACGACTTGGACGAGCATTAATTAGACAGCTCAAACACGACTTAGACGAGCATTGATTAGATAGCTCAAACACGACTTGGACGAGCATTGATTAGATAGCTCAAACACGACCTGGATGAGCATTGATTAGATAGCTCAAACACGACTTGGAGGAGCATTGATTAGATAGCTCAAACATGACTTGGATGAGCATTGATTAGATAGCTCAAACACGACTTGGACGAGCATTGATTATTTAGCTCAAACACGTCTTGGACGAGCATTGATTAGATAGCTCAAACACGACTTGGATGAGCATTGATTATATAGCTCAAACACGACNACGACTTGGACGAGCATTGATTAAATAGCTCAAACACGACTTGGACGAGCATTGATTAAATAGCTCAAACAAGACTTGGACGAAGCCACATGCTTTCGGACTAGGGTTTATGTTCTACCCTGTTCTTATCCGAATGAATCAATTATTCCTCCGTATTCATGTTTCCCTCTCAACGAAATCCGACCACTGAACAAAATGTAAACATGCTGTAAACTGTTGTATCCGTGAAATTGATATAAAATCAGAAATAGCATCATTCATTTTAATAGTCAATTGAATGAACTAATTGTTTGAATTAAAATGTCTTGTTTCAGATAAGCAGTTTGTCATTGGCAAATGTCCTTGCCTGATCAACGAGATGATCAACATCACTGCCCAGCTTGTCGCAGGAGCGGCTCGTAATGGTATAAACACTTTGTTTCATACACACAGAAACCAGACATGGAGATAATCCATCAAATCAATATTTAAGTTGCATATTTGGTACATGCAAAAACAGATACAAATCTTTAAGAAATTTTATCTCTATAATACACAGATTTTACATACAAGATTTCCTTGAGACAAGTCCTGCATACACACACGCAAGCATGCATACACTTCACACATGGAGGCACGTGCTTAAACTACCTTAGCTGTTAATAAACAAAATTAAACCCAACCAAACCTCAAGACAAACGTAAATGAAGTTAGTTTTCAAATTTATAGCTGTAACTATTGCATAGCTGTCAACCCTCCCTCATTAGGAGGGAGACTCCCTCCCATAGCTGTCAACCCTCCCTCATTAGGAGGGAGACTCCCTCCCATAGCTGTCAATCCTCCCTCATTAGGAGGGACTCCCTCCCATAGCTGTCAACCCTCCCTCATTAGTAGGGAGACTCCCTCCCACAGCTGTCAACCCTCCCTCATTAGGAGGGACTCCCTCCCATAGTTGTCAACCCTCCCTCATTAGGAGGGAGACTCCCTCCCATAGCTGTCAACCCTCCCTCATAAGGCAGGAGACCCCCTCATTTTGACCCAAATTTACCGATCTCACACAAAATTCCTCATTCAAGTCCGAACTTAAACAAACTCAAAATCTGCAGGGTGTGTGTAATGATCATAACAGGTGTGTCTGAATCAAATGGATGATTTTGGAGTTATTTTGATACATCAAAAGGCAAGATAAATTGAGCAAAGCAGTTTCAATCTCATTAAACACTCCCTCCCCCGTTCTCGGATACCCATGGCTGATTTTGCTCCGCTGCTCGCTCGTCATGATTAGCAGAGCGAAATCAGCCATGGGTATCTGACGATGACTTTCCCCATGATTGGAAATGTTGAATGAGGGAGATCTCCCTCATTGGAGGTTTCCTAGGTTGACACCTATGCTTTTGGTTTAGACATAATTCTGATCACGTTAACTAGGAGGCAATGATTATGACTGATGGGGTTTGCATGTTACAGCCGTGGCTCACATGCCACGCCTTGAGACTGTGGAGAACTGTATGAAGGCGTCACAAATGCTGATTCAAGGCCTCAATGAGAGGTCAAGCCCGCTGCTGCAGCTCCCCCACATAGGCCAGGATATGCTCAAACATTTTAACACAAAGAAGGTTAGTGTAGCTGTCTTTTAACTTTTCATTTCTGCAAGTTTTTGATTGGGAATTGAGAAACAAGCTTGGCCTATATCAGTTCTCAATATAATTATTTCATTTGGAAATATTTAAAAATACAAATGTATATCAGTTTTTTGAGAGAGAAAAAAGTTCAATACAGCGATATTCAATCTCTGTATTGTGAACACAGTTATCTTTTAAATTTTCATTTTCTTATTTCATTTCTACAAATTTTATGCAAAGATGATACATAGTAGGGATTGAGAAACAAGCTAGGCCTATATCAGTTTTCACCTAATTTTCTCATTTGGAAATATGCATAAATAAAAGTATATTTTCTGAACATTGCAATATACCAGTTTCCGAATATATAGCAGAAGCCTTATTATATGCCTTCTTGTTCAAAATAAGTTTAAAATGAATTTAAAAAAAATAAAGTGTTGGAAATCCCTTTTTACAGTATTTAATGTAGATGTTTAATGGTGTATGCATTTTTTCCCCAGAGACATATACAGAGAATCACAGATCTTATTGCGATGAAGGAGGAGGACAGAAGGTTGCTATTCCGTAACCTTGGTAACGAGGAATATAGAGACGTCATCAATGTGTGTGCATCAATGCCATACGTTACCATGGAGGTCAGGTCAGAGGGTAAGCATTTCATGTCGTCGCAATATCTCAACATTAATTTTACGTTTTAATGTCACGAAAACGTGTTGAAATTCAATTCATACCAGAAAATGTATTGCCTTTGCGATGTGTCAGCTACCATTTCTTTTTCAATCTTATTTATAAAGACTATTCTATTCTGTGATATTCTTTCGAAGAAATTCTCATTATTACTATCAGAGGGGAGGGACTAAAGCTTTTTGCTCCATCTGTCTGTCTGTGTTTTACTTTCTCCAGGGCATACCTCATATAATTTGTCACCTGCAATCATGAAAATTTTGTATGTGAGTATCTCTAAGGATGGCAGAGTGTAGCATATTGAAATCTCATTCCCTTGTTAAACAGAGTTATGGCCCCTTGTTCACTTTTTATCTATTATTGCCAAATTTTGTCTGTGATCACCACTTTGAATGGCGGAGTATCTCCTACTGAAATTGATTCTCTTGACCCGCTACTTATGGCCATTCATTCATTTTTGATATCAAAGATTGTCCAGAGCATCAATATTTGCACTGAAATATTAAATTCTACATATTGTCCGTAACACAAGGAAACAGTTGTAAATGTTTCCTTCTTCAGAATTTAAATCACCACTGCTTATATATAGGTTTTATCGATGGTACATGTAATTGTGATATGAATTCTCTGTCAACCTGAACAGTTTTGCAGTTTTTAAAGAGCAGTTTCAGACTAAGTTAATCTAAAAATAGAGTATTTTTAAACGGTTGCAAAGGTGCCTAGTGGGTGCGTGTCATTTGCTAGGTGTTTCACAATACGCCAGGAGTTGATCATTAATTTATTATATAATATTGTACAAAACAAATGTATTATTGCGATCAAAATCACAATTCATTGTGACAGGGACATTTTTTTCTTTCTTCTAAAAATGGTTTGGTAACTCATTCACCCCTGAAGACACTTTTAAACACTTCCAATTCAATGATTGGAATTGTTCATTATAAAATTTCAAGGGTGAATGAGTTAAAACGCTGTCAAACTGTACCATAAATCAAATGAATCACAGATTTAAGATTTCTGTTGCACCGATTATTGATTACAGAATTTCAACTAACTCCCACCTCTAATACTGGTTATAGCCTATTGTTCGGTCATTGACACAAAAGGGTCCAAAGGTGCTAACTGTGTGTGTCATTTCAGTTCTTGATGATGAAGATTCAACGATCACGGCTGGCTCTATCGTCACGGTGACAGTGGTACTCCGTCGAGAGAATATGGAGTTTCTATTTGAGAAGGAAGATGTTCAGTTTTCTCATATGGACCAGGAGGCAGCAGAAGAGACGACCAAAGCAGAAGAAACAGAACTGGTGAGGAATAGAAGCTTGCTATAGACTACAAGCATCTTGGATGGGGTGTCTTGGGCCTAAAATAAATATGGCCTATACACTCCTAAAGCTACAATTCTATACACTCCTCGTCACTTTAACAATACAATGAGCACAAAACTTATTATATCTTATATTATATTTTATCTACAACATCAGGAATCTAACAACATCAAAACCACAAATATAATGACAAAACAGAATATTTATAATGCAGATTGTCAATTTTGAGCTGTTAGCAGGCAGATGAATATATAGCTGTGTAAAAAATTGGAAAATTGGGGTGAGATGGGGGAATATCAACCTGAGGGGGGAGGTGGGGGAATATCAACCCGAGGGGGGAGATGGGGGAATATCAACCCGAGGGGGGAGATGGGGGAATATCAATCCGAGGGGGGAGATTGTTAAGTTGCCAAACATGAGGCTGTGCCGAGTGTTTGGCAAGTTACGAGTCTTTCCCCGAGGACTGAGTTTCCCCTATCTCACCTAATTGGGCTGAATGATTCTTTTTCTATTATCCTGTTCATCCATTATGTATCATATTAATAGTGTTTTTAATAGAGTCCCCCGTCTCAACTCTAGGGAGAGACAAGGATTTCTCTTACAATGGACAGGTGTATCTGCACTTTTACCAGTGAGAGATTTCCTTGTCTTACCTTAGGGTTGAGACGGGGGGATTCCCCTCTTCATAACAATGGTATGACGTCACTTTAACAATACAATGACGTCACATCAACAATCCATCAGCGTCACATCAACCCTGAATTTAGCATGTAACGTTATCATGGGGTGGGAGATTCTATTAACCTCACACCGTTAAAAGTGTGGATACACCTGTACAGGGTAAGAGAAAGAAACATTTAACACAGGGTATGTCGTGGGATATCTCCTTTGAGGTGTGAGAAATCCATGTCTTTCCTGTTCCTTCCCATACCATTTATTGTAATGACTCGACCGACTACATTTCCTCAGAAGTGTAATAAAAGGTCAAGTATGGAATACCTCCAACAAGTTTACATTTTAGAGAAACAAAGTCAACACCAATATAACATTACTATTTATAGTTCAGCCATGGGGCCAGGGGGTATTCATGTCTTTCTAGTTTCTGTTGCCTTCATTGAGTGCTGTTTAGATAACACAAACGTGAAACATTGGTTTCTATTCAATAGGAGCTGGCAGATTCACTTAAAAGCCAGCAGCAACAGGCAACGCAGCCACAGAAAGCAGTGTCTAAAAAACAACAGAAAAGTAAAAAAGTTGTGAAGAAGAAGAAAGCACCGAAACAGGCTTACAACTGGAAGGCGGCAGCTACTGAGAAGGAAACAAGCAAACAGGTCTGTTACGGCATCAGCCATTGGTTGATTGGAGATCTAGTAATCATTTATTTGTAACAGCATCAACCATTGGTTGATAGGGATCTCATAACCATGTATTATATAACAGCATCAATTATTGGTTGATGGAAATCTACCAATCATTCATCATCAGCTATTTAGTAACAGCATCAACTATTGGTTAATTGAGATCTGCCAATCCTTTATTGGGATTTGTTGGCCAGCCAGCCATTGGTTTATGGGAATTTATAAATGTTCCCGTTTGTTACAGCATCGTCCATTGGTTGATAGGTTGCACCAGGTTCTATAAGTTACAACATCAACCATTGGTTGATAGTGGTCGACATATTTAGGTTGCTGTCTGCTAAAACATCAGTTATTGGATGACGAGAATAAGTAAGGTTTCTATCTTTGAAGTTACAGGGATTTTTTTTTGGGGGGGGGGGGGGCCCTGATATCTCCAGAACACTTTTCTGCAGCAAATGCTGTATTGATTTTCATTGTCTGTTCATTCGTACCAATACAGAATGGAATGCCATGCTTGTTGTAATAGAGGAAGATGCATATATAAATTTAAAATGGGATCTAGGCTTCACTTTTCTGCAACTAATTCTATTTTTATATTCATTGCTTGATCATTGTTACCAATACAGAGCGCAATGCCTGTGGCGACGGTGGGAGGCGCCGAGACTGACGTTCACAAGAAAGATGAAGAAAACGACAATAGCGAGGCAGAGACAGATGACGGAGGAAACGACTCAGAAGAGGAAATCGCTAAAACTGTTGATGTGATAAGTGACCAGAACAAGAATGGTGCTGAAGGAGATGAAGACGAAGAGGAACAATGGAAAAAGTACCAGGAAGAGGCCAAGCAGGAAACAACTTTAGATACAAAGGTCAAGGAAAGCCATCCAGTACACTGTCCATACTTTTCAGATGTAAGTACCCAGTAGATAAACCTATTCAGAACTCGCCTCTTCCACAATTGTTTCGAATCTTGAGGCTCATAAAGTTGTGATGTTTGCTGGTTCTAACTTAGGGCTATTCCATAATTAATTGTATAGGGGGCGTAGGGCTATTCCATAATTAATTGTATGGGGGAGGTAGGGCTATTTCATAACTTATTGTATGGGGAAGGTAGGGCTATTCCATAATTTATTGTATGGGCAAAGTAGGGCTATTCCATAATTTATTGTATGGGCAAAGTAAGGCTATTCCATAATTTATTGTATGGGGAAGTTAGGGCTATTCCATAATTTATTGTATGGGCAAAGTAGGGCTATTACATAATTTATTGTATGGGCAAAGTAGGGCTATTCCATAATTTATTGTATGGGGAAGGTGGGAGGTTCTTGTACATATTTTTGGTGGTGGGGTTAAACCCAGATATGCCAATCATTCTTTATATTAAATCACTATCTTTTATGGGTGGTTGGGTCTCTGAAATATTGTAGTTCTATATTAGCAGAATATACCCAGTATGCCAGACTGACAGAATCATCACTGTTTGATGAAGATTGACACAAATCTGGATAAATCACCCTGCATCACTTATTTGCTAGCATATGGGTAAAGGGAGATAATTTGTAAAAATACTTTTTGCATTTTGCGTCCTTTTCTATGAGATTAAGGTCAACTTGGTGAAAAATGATAAATTGCGTATACTAGCAATAAGTGATATGACACAAGAGGACTAATCGGACATTGGTGAATTTGTTCAGTTTAGTATACTGATTGTTGAATAACATACAAGTTTACAAATATATACGTGTACTGAAATCTAAAATGTTCAGTATGGTCCTCAATTTCAGTATTTTTGCTTAAATGAATAATAAAGTCCCATGTAAAATGGATCAATTGATAACATTTTATTGTTTGAGTATGAGTATTGAAGGTAATTCGAGTTATGAAAAGTTCTTATTACACCAAAAAAAATCCTATGTAGGAAATTGTATTGGTTGTGTAAAAAGAACTTTTCATAATCCATATTTACCAACCTGAAGAAAATGTTTAGAACAAAGGTAATCAGAGTACGAAATATTTTAGAATAGTCCTCAATTTCAGTATTTGTGTTTAAATGAATAATAAAGTCCCATGGAGACAATACATTATATTTTTTATAGATCCGAATATAATGTCTGATCATCTGCATATGTTGTATTCCAGGACAGACAAGAGGGCTGGTGGCTCTATGTTGGTGACAAGAAAAATCACATGTTGATCACAGCACCTGTACAAATCCAGACCTTAAAAACGAAAGAAGAGGCAAGTATATCACGATGGTCAAAACCCCTTGTTAAACACATAGCGTTCTCACCCCTGGAAATCGGGGCTATCAAGGGATAGAGGATGTTGAATGTTTGCCCTTTGAATATGATGTATGTGAAATGTTCATGGTGTCCAATGGGCTACAAGTATATTTCAACAGCTTTTTAGCTCACCTGCCCGAAGGAAATAGTTGCAGTATCATATTTAATGAGGATATTTTCACGTGGTTGCTTAACTATCCAGGTGAGCGATTTAGGCCCCTTGGGCCTCTTGTTACAGATGCCTGAAATACACCCAATTCTTTTAAGGCAATTACTGGGTAAATAAAGCCATTTCTTTCACAATTTGGTCCCTATGACTAACTTAACGAGGGTTAATGGGTTGGTTCAACTTTTATTTAACCATTACCCTTTGTCAAAGAGGTATTACAGTCTAGTGGTAGGACGCCAGGCTCGTGACTGAAGGGTTGCGGGTTCGAGTCACGTCACGGAACTGTGTTGTATCTTTGAACAAGATACTTTACCCTGCTTGTTCCAGTCTACTCAGCTGCAAATTAGTATGTGGTTGGGCAGTGCTGGAATTGTTGAATGCTAGCTGTGAGCGCCGAAGTGGCAGCACCAGCTGTACGCTCCCAAGGGAGTTGGAAAAGATATTGGCTGGTTGCAAAGGCCCTATAACCATGGATAATAATTTGTGAACCGCTTTGAGATGACCTACGAACTAGGTTGTGATAAAGTGGTATATAAGAACCTCAAATCCTTATTATTAAAGTGAGGAGAGGGATTATTTGCGTGTGGTAGGTTATTTGTTGTTCAAATACAGTGTACTTACATCGTTGTTTATATCTGTACTTTCAGGTCCAGTTAAAGTTCTCCGCTCCTATGAAGCCTGGTGTTTACACTTACTTCGTAATCCTACGATCCGACTCGTACCTCGACTACGATCAGCAACAAAAAATAAGGGTAAGTTTGTCCTCGATAAAACCTCTTTCCTTTTCCACTAAAATAATACCTCGGCTCAGCTACAGGAATTCAATCCATGGACCTCGTGATTATGAGGCAGAAAGGTTATCCACTGTGATACCTGTCAAATACTTGTTTTCTTAATACTTAACTGCAGCATTACTAGAAAAATTCAAAATGTTATATCTCTCTTAAAGGGCCTGCAACTCATAAAAGTCTTCATAATAACATAGGGGAGTGAGCGGGCATATAGATTTAACAGGAAAATAGTTTATCCAGACCTGTATACAGTTGTGGGACAACACAATTTTTTTTCTTTATTATTGCAATGACACTTTTTTGTAAGTTATAGGGTACCGTCAAATTACAATTCTCACTATTGAAAATATATGTTCGTCTTTTTCCAAAATAAGCATTCCATAAAAATCACAGGTTTTCAATGCATTTTATAGTATTATAGCTGTTCGTAATATCCTAATGTTTGAAATATAAAAATATAAAAAATATAAAAATAATTGCAGAGGTCAAACTCAGGACCTTTACATTGTTAAACCTACACTTAGCAATGTTACGCTCTAGGAATTATATATGCACAATATCTAAATGCAAGTCCAATTTATGGGCTGAAAAGTCTATGAAATAAACACAAAACATTGAAAGGTACACGAGTCATACTTGCCAACTCTCACTATTTTGTGAGGGAAACTCCCATTTCTTAACTCTAAAAATGAGCATTTTCAACCTGTGAATTTCCTTATCTATTCCCATTTTTTAAGATCTGATGATTTCATCTGAAAGAACAGCTCAAAAGATGTCATTTTAAAGTGTTATCATTAGCCACGGGGTTATATGCAAACACATTTTATTTATGCTTTTAATTCCTTAGAACTGGCAGTCTCCCCATGGAAATAAAAAAAAAAATGGCAATTGTGATAACTTGACAGGGAAAGTAATTCTTAGCCAGAAAAGGAAGTCTGTTTAGTTTCTAAATCTTCTATATTAAAGGGAGAAAACTCCAATTAAAAAAAACAAAAAACACACATAATAGAACTCTTCTTCTCCTTTATAACTGATGCAGTGGCAGAGTAAAAATTGAGAGTTGTCTTTCTTTGTAGCTGGATGTGAAGGAAGCTAAGTTAGTGAAGGACCATCCTCAATGGGACATATCGGATGACGAGGAGGACAAGGATAAAGAGGACGACAGCGACTCCGATTACTCAACGGACATGTCGGATTCAGAATGATTCTACCGTCACATCACTGTATTAACTCATTCACCCCTTCAGACACATTTGAACTCCTCCAATTCAAAGGTTGGAATAGCTCATTATGAAATTTTAGGGGTGGATGAGATAAAGAATGAATAAGACCAAGTTTTGCAACAGGCCAAATTCCTGGCAGCCGAAATCATCTGACTATTTAATGAAACAATCAATCTAGATTTCAATTTGATCGGATCATTAAATGAGACCCATCAATGTTTAACAATGACAATCTCTTGGTCAAAGTTTTTGTTTAACTGCGTTGACATAGGTAAGTTTTGTAAAAGCATTGATTTATGAAAATAAAATAGGTGTCTGGATATTTAGGAGAATAGAATTGTTTTACAAAAACTTAAAAAAACAAATATCCAGCAAATCATGGCACTTGTATTCGGTAAAACTCATTTATTGGAGGTTGATTTTTTTTTTAGATAAAAGTCAAAAGATATGTATTGTGTTTGATTGATATAGATACTGACTGCCGTATAAACTAAGTGTTCAGGTGAACGTGGAATCAGGGTCATTGTGGGGCACCAATTTGCTACCAAATTCCTCTCATCAGTGTCAGAAAAACGTTTGATCTGCTATCAAAAAATTATATACTTTAACATTTTGCACAAAAGTCACTGTCGTGCAGAAGCTTGCAATCATGGAAACACACTTGAGTGCAAAAACAGTTATTTGATCATATATGATTATAAACTGTCATTTGTATATACATTGAAAAGAAGATGGTTTCCAATATATAAGTTTGATTTTCTACTCTTAAATTGTAGATCTTTGGAGATTTTAAGTGGTATTTTTAGTGCCATGAATATGTTTGAATGAGATAACTAATGGCACTATTTTATGTGATAAGCTGATAAGCAAGTTTGAGCCCTGCAGTAAAACCCAGGCATTTCAAACTGTGTGACTGGTTAAACCACCAGATTTGTTTATATATGGAAATATCGAAAAGAGAACAGTTCTCATAGTCAGATGTTGTTTTTGGTAAGACCTCTGCAAAGGCCCCAAAGGCCTGCATTGCAACAAACATGTTCACCAGGTTTTCCCCTTGGATATGTCAAATATAAAAGTAGACAGACTGGTCACTTGGTAATTGGATGGAAACGAATGGAAGAAAGATGGATAATTGGTTTGTAGTAAATGTCCTGTAAGATTGTGCCTAACAAAAGAATGAGAGAAAGAAGTGGATAAATTAGATTGATATCAGAGATGAATAAAATGGGAGAAATTGGTGCGAAAATTTTGAGAGCTGTTATATCTGCACAAGCTGCCATAAATCTTTGAACTTTTGAATGTATATTTATTTTTCTTGCATTTTATTTTACACAACTTTAACATTGGCTAAAAACCAGAGTTCATGTATATATATATCATTATTTGCATATTTTTTTTTATAGGAGTTTTGAAATAACTTTCACGGTGAGGATGAGAATGATTTCTGTCACATCAATTAAATGTGGTTACTTAGGCAAATACTGTATTGATTGGTTACTGGTTACTTCCAGGCCATCTTCACAAGCCAAGGGTTACCATCCGGTCTTCTTACTCTCCAAGAGTACGTACACCGTACTGGATGGTAACCCTTGGCTAGTGAAGATGCTCCCAAGTGTTCCTGGGACAACACATCTCTGACTCAAAGTAAGGTGATGGGCTTATAACCAGACTTAAGCTTGGGCTTACCAGTGTATCATCAAACTTATCGCTGGATTAGTACCCTTTATTACAGCTCTACCCAGGTCAGGGTTTTTGAGCTTTCAAAATTCATCTCAAATGCTCCCCTTGCTCCTTAGTTTCTTGTGTTGCAGCAAGAAAGTCCTCTGAATTTTTCGTTTATTAAATTTAATACAGGTAATGAAATAGTTTTAATAAATTTTCAAAAATATTTGTATCAAGACTAGTGGTGGATGTTCGGATTATAATTGGTGTGTATATAAGATTATTCATTTATTTTGCAAATTGTGTACATAGTTTTTCGTTGTTAGTGCAAATGCTGAATGTGTGTGTGTGTGACTCAGACTCATTTGTAGCATGAAGCTGTGGCAATTGTGAAAAAGACAATGAACTTAACTCATTCACCCCTGAAATATCATAATGAATTATTCCAACCTTTGAATTGGAAGAGTTCAAATGATACTTCAGGGGTGAATTAGTTAATCCTTTGTTTTGCAAATAAATTACATATTTATCACACTGTATATCAAATATGTGAACAAATTAAGCATTACTGTTCCGTTATGTACATTATCAATTAAAAATTTAAAAAATTCAAATATATTTAAATCCATTTGTATCCAGCTTCAATTCTCAAATTTAAATTTTTGAAAAATATATGCAGAAAAATAAAATATTTTTGTGATATTATCTAAAGTTGATACTTTTGAATCCCGGGTTATGTATTATTACATTTTCCATTTTGATAATTGAGAAAAATAAATAACATTTGTGCGATGTATCATTGAGTTATGGGACTAGATTACATTGGGTCCTGTTTTAGTCAGAAATTTGTTGGTATGCCTTTTTGTGTTATATGTTCGGTTAAAACTGGAAAACAGACCCCTTGGGGTCATTCTGTAAATTTGAGGTGTAGATGGTATCACAAATTTTTGCTTGGCACTGTTAAACTGAAATATAACCATGATCATGAGAATTTGTATTAGGTAAAAAAAAAGAAAAAAAAATCAATTGAGGGCATTTCTCACTGGTCCACCAGAATCTACATTGTATGAAAAATGCAAAATTGGAACAGGATTTGTAACTGTACATTGCTTCCTGTGGACATTATATATATTTTAAAAAAAATCCATTTTGAATGATTTTTTTTTTATTCATAATGTAACAATTCTGCTGTCATATATTCCGTCTTTGCGTATTGCAGAGTTATCTTCTCTTGAGAGCAGGTATTGATTGTTCCGTCATTGGGTTGTGAGAGTAACGTCATCAATTTTTGAGAAACGGCGTCATTTTCTCACGCAAACCAATGAAGTAACAATCAATACCTGCTCACAAGAGAAGATAACTCTGCAATACCCAAAGCCTGAATATTGATGGGGCAAAATTGAAGGAAAAATACATGTTTGATGGTATTTTACTGTAAACAATATATGTACATTGTATAATATGAAAGTACATTACAGACTGCTTCATCATGCCAGTGTTAATGTATTTATAAGTCAGATTGATGTTTACATTGAAATCTATGTTCTTCAGTTTGTGTTATATTTAATTTATTCTGTGAATGCTTTGACAGAGGGATACACATTTTGTCCATGTAAATATGTATCATCATCTATATTGTTTGGGTGATGTTTTCAGTGGAATCTGTCGCCGTCGACCACACTTCCACCACAGGGTCTTGTTGATATTGATTATTATAGGAGCGAGGTATATTTATGTATGCATGGTGGGCCGTTCTTGGTATTAATGTGTCTTTAAGCTAAAGGGTACTAACAAGTTAAACTAGTTAGCTAACATTGGCGCTATTGTGAACTATTTTTAAGTGTCCATTTTGAGGGCCGCGTTTAGCATATGAAAAAAATTCACAAGGGAAAGTTACTCTAGGCTAGAAAAACTCCTCTCGGTTGCTTTCTCTTCTATAGAAGGGAGTCTACTTCAAGTTAAAAAAAACAGTGGAACTCTTCTTTGCGATTACAACGGATGCAGTGGAACCCTTTACCTTACGACAAATTGTGTTCCCGCTTATCTCTGAACTTCTATTTTCACCAATTTTAACAAGATCCTGTGCTGATACAGTATGTTAAATTTTTAAAAAAAAATTACAAAGAGTTTTCTTCAGATTCTGCTCTTGTATACACTTATAAATTTTTCTGGTACCAAACAATTATTTGCTCTAAGATTTCTATTTTTTGGCAAAACAAGCTTTTACTATATTGTGTACCATTGAGCTAGAAAAAAATCAGATGTAATTAATTTGTTATTATGTACTCTTTTATTGTGACTGACCTATACGATTTTGGGGTGCATATTGGTGTAAAGGGTCAATAAATACTAGAATCAAGAAATACACATTTTATGGACCTTTCATAACATTTGTGCTGGAGTTAAAATTTTGACATGCTGCATATATGTACATTGTTGAAAATAAAAATCAGTATTTTGTATACAAGTATATATTTCTTCATTTTTAGCTCACCTGAGCTTATGCCGTACTGAGGCATCTGTCATCCATCCGTTCACTTTTTATACAGCTTCTTCTGAAGAACTGTAGGACCTTTGGTCATGATATTTGGCCAGTTGGTACCTGGGATGGAGTGCTATAAAGTTTCCTCATTAAAATGACCTTGACCTACTTTCAAGGTCACAGGGGTCAAATATGTTAACAAGAGGCCCATGGGCCTTAACGGTCACCTGATATATTTATACAGAGAGTTGATTTCGTTTTTAACATGAACAGAAATATTATTCAAAGTGACAAAAAACAATAAAACCACCTTATTCAATATCAAGCATACAGATTTCAGACTAAAAAGGATTTGAAACTAGCACCTCTGATTCTAAACAAGGAAAATGAAGAAATTTTAGCACACTGACTCCCTTGAGCCCCACCCTACAGCCCTTGGGGGTAGGGCTGGCTCAAAATTTTCAAAGTATCAAACTGTCAACTCAAGGTTATAATTCCAATCAAGTTATTAACATGTAATATTCAAAGTATCATTTGCCATTATAAACCATAATAAATTTTGCCCCCCCCCCACTCCTTCCCCAGGGGGTAAACGTGAGACCCTAGGGTCATAAACCTTAAGACCCTTCCATCTATGAAGAGTATTTGATTCTACCATATCTGGATCTTGAGAAGAAGATTTTTTTAAATTTAAGTAAATTCATCCCTTTTTGGCCCCACCCATCAGCCCCTGGGGGTCAGTCAGGGCTGGTATGTGCTTATTATCAAACTGCTACCTAATACTGATAATGCTAACCCAGATTGAATTATTTCCAATGGAAATTAAACAAATGTTGGTCCAAAATGTGATTTCCCAATATAAACTATAGTAAAGTTTACCCCCTCCCCAGGGGAAAACATGAGACCCCGGGGTCAAGAAATTCACAATTTCGGTAAAGCTCCTTAAGATTTCCATCTATGAAGAGAATTTTATTTTACCATATCACGGTCTTGAGAAGAAGATTTTTGAAATTTCAGTCGATTCAACCCTTTTTGGCCCCACCCATCAGGCCCCTGGGAGCGTAGGACTAAACCGGCAACTATTTTTGTTGACCTTTGTTCATGGAAGGTCCCTGCAAATTTTCATTGCAATTGGTTCAGGGGTTTTGGAGAAGAAGTCGAAAATGTAAATTGTTTACAGACGCACGACGGACGACGACAGACAAAAGGCGATCGCAATAGGTCACTTGAGACTTTGTCTCAGGTGACCTAAAAACTTCAAACAACAATATCCTAAGAACCATTTCAACTAGAGTCATGATACTTGGGTATGTTATGAAGACTAGCAGTGCAAATCTTTTCTTCAAATACAGTAATGAGGTCAAAGGTCAACTAAAAGTGCTAGTCGGGGTAAAATGTCAACATGGGTTAAAAGCTTTAACAATCTTCTTAAGTTAAATAAGGCCTAGGGTTATGCTATTTGGCCAGTAGGTACCTTGGATAGAGTGCTATAAATGATGCTGTTGGAAGCACGGTCTGAATTCAAACAACACAATACATCTCCAGCACACACGCAGGCATACACACACAGGGAGATATTAGCCAGGTGGCATAGGACTAGTAGTTAGCGCCTGATAAGGCAGCTCCTGCGAATTCCTCAAATTATATGGAGTAATGTATATGCTAATTATATAAACTGTATATCTATGTACTGTAAAGCACTTTAGAGCGGCTTATTCTAGCTAGATAGGGCGCTATATCAAATGTTGTATATTATTAAATTATTAGCTCACCCGGTCCAAAGGACCAAGGTGAGCTTATGCCATACCGTTGCGTCCGTCATCCAGCCGTCAACAATTTCTTTAAACGACTTCTTCATCTTAACCACTGATTGGAATTCAACTAAATTGGACTAGAAGCATCCCTAGGTGGTGGGGATTCAAAGTTGTACAAATGGTGGGGCCTGAGGGGCAGGGCAAAAAGGGGGCAATTTGGCTATATTGCTTTAAGGTAATAGGATTGTGTCGCCATTTCTCAGTAGAATTTATTCAAATTTTGTAGGGATATTGCTTTGAAGTAAAGAAAATTTTCTGTCACAAAAAAAGTATAGGTTGTCAGAATTTTAAGGATTTTAAAAGGAAAGTTATGCAAAAAGGAGTGAATTTTGATAAAAAAATTGAAACACACAATATTTTGCAAAATAATGTCAATAAAAATGATACTAGCATAGATTAGTTTTGCATTAATGTATATCAATTTCATAAATGCTGAAATTGTGTACAATTAATGATCTATAAACGATTAAAAATTGACATTTTATAGTAAAAGCATATACACATAGTAATTGCATGCAAGAGTCATCGTTCTTGAAAAACTTCACAGTAGTGAAATAGGTAGCCGGTTTCTGAAGTACAGAAAAATGGACACATGTGACTCATTGATTAAAAAACAACTAAATTAATGCCTGGATTGCTTTGCAATACTTTAATATTGAAAGAACACACTGTTCTGTCAATAATAAGCATACCATATTCATCAGTTTAATATCAAACATAAGAATATGCGGAAATTGTGATACTGTCTCCCTTCATTGGATTTTCAACTAGGGATGTACTTCCTATTTCCGTTTAGCAATACACTCCTATGACCTTAAGCGACTTCTTCTCTGGAACTAAGAAATGGATATCAACCATATTTGACTGGAAGCATCCCTAGGTGGTGGAGATTCAAAATTGTACAAATGGTTGGGCTGAGGGGTGGGGCAAAAAGGGTTATTCGGCTATATTGCTGTAAGCGACTTCTTCTCTGGAACTAAGAAATGGATATCAACCATACTTGACTGGAAGCATCCCTAGGTGGTGGGGATCCAAAATTGTACAAATGGTGGGGCTGAGCACAAAAAGTGTATTACTTGGAAATGGTTGAGATCCCCACCATATAACCATATATACAATTGCTGAGTATAAAGAAAAGAATGCACATTTGCTTCCAGGATGGCCCTAGGGTCTGGCCCCATCCTCGGATACATAGTCCCTGGGCCATAACTTAAAAACGGTTGAGATCCCCACCCAAAAACTATATATATAAACGCTGGGCATAAAAAGACGAATGCAGTCATGATATTAGAATAGACCCTGGGGTCTGACCGAACCCCTCGGGACCTAGTTTCTTACCTTGGTAGTCACAGCTTGGAAACAGTTGAGATCCCCACCCTATAACCATATATACAATTGTTGAGCATAAAGATATGAATGCACATATGCTTCCAGGGTGGCCTTGGGGACTGCCCACCCTTGGAGACTTAACCCCTGAGTCATAACTCTGAAATAGTTAAGACCTCCACCCCAAAACTATACATACAATTGTTGGGAAAAAGGGACAAATGCAGTCATGATATTAGGATTGACCCCAGGGTATGCCCAACCCTTGCAGACTTAACCCCTGGGTCATAACTTTGAAACGGACGAGATCCCCAACCCAAAACTATATATACAAATGTTTGGAAAAAGGGACAAATGCAGTCATGATATTAGAATTGATCCTGGGGTCTGACCACAACCCTAGGGACCTAGTTTCTGAGTCACAGCTTGGAAACAGTTGAGATCCCCACCCCATAACCATATATAAAATTGCTGGGCATGAAAAATCCAATACAGATATGCTACAAGGATTGGCCTTCGGGTCTGGCCTATTCCCTTGTATCTTGCTTAGATATCCAGGTGAGCGATACAGGCCCTCTGGATCATATGTATCCAGTACAATTGTTTCCACTGGTTTAACCCGACAGAAAACAACAGGCACAGATTGGAACAGAGGGAGACCTCTGGAACATTTTGTACATGAATATCGAGTTCAGGCCCATTTCCCAAAGCTTGTTCAGTGTTAACCAGTGGTTAAGGAAAAATTCAAATGTGAAAACAAACAAAATTCAGAATCAACCACCATAAATTTGTATAGACAGATCAGATTGAAGTGTTTTGAGGATATATTTTGCTTAGAAAGCCCCCTATTTTTTAGTGGCAATAATTTTACTTTTTCACTAACCACTGGTTTAAGTAAACTAACCATTGAGAAACCAGGTCCAGATGTGCCTGTCCAAAACAAAACTCAAAATGCTGACTATTGCAAGTTTTCATAATTTTTACATAAAGCAAGGCCGATTCACTCAGGTGTTACAGGACATGTTACAAAATTCAGTATACATGTCAAAGAAGCACAATATCATTCTTGATTTATTGGAATATATTTTGTCAGAAAACTTGGAAACTGTAGAAACTCTGACTATATGGTCAACCCACTTCCAGTCTAACCGTGTTCATTTATCATGGAATATTTGTGTCACTCTGAAACTGTAGATGATCTGGCTATAAGGTCAGCCCACTTCCGGTCCAAGTGCATTTGGATTTTGTTTGTGTCACCTGGATCACTTAAACTAGGATATGAAAAAGAAGCTCTGTCTAAATTACTGGAGATACGAAAGATTTCCCTCTCCGGGGTACAAGAAATACCAGAGTACCGGACACCACACAGAAACATGGACTATTTTCTGCATACATTTTATTATCTATTACAGTTGGATGTGGTCAATTGTTCCAGAGTAAACTGGCTCATACCAAACAAAGCATTGAATTGACAGGTAGCAGCACACGGTCACTTCGTCATCACACACGTGCTATTCTACAAACATGGACTTGTGTATTGGTACCTCTGTGGCTTAAAACTTGTGTAACATGTGTTCACACGTGGTCCGATTTCTCCTTAAAAAATGGTTTACACACAAACAAAGGTATATATTCAAATGACATAAATACTAATATTACAATTTTATATAAAATTACAAGCATTTTAAACTTGTTATACATCATATGATAAGGAAATATTGTGACAGCATTTATGTAACACCTGCTGTGTATTATTGTGGGATGCTGGTTCATACAAAAAGAATAGGAAAGAAAAGAAAGTATACAGGAGAGTATTTCTTTTTTTTACAAAAAACTACTTCTTTCAAAAAATGAAATAAATCTAGATGTGTCTTTCATAAGTTAACTGGAGACCACTCAAATTTTTATACAAGAAGAATAGGAAAGAAAAGAAAGTATAAATGAGAAAAGAAAAAAAAATATATAAAAAAACTGCTTTCAAAATTGAAATAAATTCAGACGTGTCTTTCGTTTGTTAGTGAAGACTTTGTTAGGGCTCCAATATAATAAGAGACCTCTTTCAGATGATATGAAAAACATATTACATGAAACGGATACATTTGTAATACATATTGTAACAAAAAATGGACAATCAGTAAAATCACTGGTCTAAAGGATCAGAAAGAAAACAATAGGAATGGAAAGGATAGCTCAAAATCAAATGAAAAAATGTCTATTTTGCCAGTTTCGAACAAGTTCAAAGCCACTTACAGCTTTGGACTAAAATGTAGATATAAAACGAGGCAAAAACAACAAAACTCTGGGGAAAATATCACAAAATTTCTCGTAGAATAATTATTAATTATGATGGTTTTGAGACAGTATTCCCCCCTCCCACCCAATGTCTAAAAGGATTCATTGTAAACCAATAGTATTGGCTCCACACACTGTAAGAAGTGGTTGTTAGAGCCGAAGTAAAACGTAACACTCACAAGTTACTCTACAGGCTGTCCGACAGAAGCCAAACCTTCTCACTGTTAAGACCTAACTCAAAATATTAATCCCCAGATCATTTATTGAATTTTGCAGTTACACTGTATCAGCCCAGAAGCATTTAGTAAAATTTTAACATTTATATCGGAATAAAAAGCCCCCCCCCCCCAAACCACAGTTCTACATGTTGGGGGTTCAGCTCCCCTGCCCCCAAAACTCTACACAATTTTTTTGTGTACACTGTTATATATAGGAAACAGAAGTTAACATGAACTCCCCCAACAACAATATTTTTAAATGTGGAAGACATCCCCCCCCCCCCAAAAAAAATTATACAGAATTATTTTAACACTTTCTCAACCCCCTTCCCCTCCCTTCCAAAAATAATTTTCTAAAAAGAAACTTTATATATATATATATATATATAATATATACTTTTACATGTTAAACAGAAATATAGATTACATAGACATTCAAATTTCCTCCAAGAAAACAAACATTAATATTATACAAATGATCACCACCTAGAAATACAAATCCCTAAATATTACCATGGATATCTGAACCAATGTCCGACCCAAACAAAGGACTTGTAGCTGTATCTACATAGCAATCTGGCTCATTACAAGATGAAATTCAAGACAAACATATTAAAACCGTCATCATAAGACTTACATATTTTTTTGGGATAATAATTTATCTTCCAATCCCTCTTTTTCTGTGCTTATTTTACGAGCCATTTGGCACAATTGATCTACTTTCGCATCTCGCAGCTTTCATTCACATTTTCATCTTCCCATCTGGCCTCGCATTACTGTAAATAGCACACACAAAATGTTTGCACCAAAATCTACTTTCATTAGAAATGCACCCATCTGCATTAAAACAACATTACATCAATACATACATTATTTTATCAGAGAAATGTTATAACTTAAATACTGAACTACAAAGAATATTGCTGTCATTTTCGGATCATTTTATAACCCCTGGCCCTGACCTCTATTGTAAGCTGTCCAGAATAGGCAATCAGATTATTAGAAAGGTGTTTCATTTTTTTTTTTTTAAGCAGAATGAATTGACACAGGTTATAACTAAACAAAGCGATGTTTAGCTTGTTAACAGGATTCAAACATTTACAATTCTTGAAAAGAATCATCAACACAATAATTACCATTATTCAACAGAGAGAAAAATATCATAAATATGGAATCATACATTTACTATTAAGATATATGGATCTGGTATTGATGGTGTTGAATGTTTTTAATATTGTCCTTAAAATCTCAGAAAGTGCAGTGCAGTGTCTTCACTGTATCACTTGACAAAACAGATCAAATTCTTTGTTTCTTAGTCTCTTTCGCCCCTGAAGACACATTTGAACTCTTCCAATTCAAAGGTTGGAATAGTTCATTATGAAATTTCTGGGGTGAGTGAGTTAATGTCACTGGCAGATACTGCCTCGTATGTCAAGAAAACATTCCATGAAATTTCATAAAATCATTGGTAATCTCTTAGATACACAAGTTAATTCAGGAAGGTTGTTCCTGGCTTCATGATGGGCGAGTCCCAGTGGGCAGAGCTTGTGCGCTTGTTGAAGCGGGCCTTCTTCTTGTTGAAGAACTGGTTGAGATCTGGAGGGTCAATGGGGCCGAACAGTTCCTCCAGCTGTGGTGGATGGTAGTGCTGGTTGATAAGAGAGGCCTTCAGATTGGGACCTGCAATACAAACAACGAAATCAGAAAATATGCCTACAGTATTTTCTTTGCAATTATTTGACCTTTGACCTGGATATATATCACCATGTTGTAGTAACCTAAATACAGCACACTGCATGCTCTCTGTGGCTGATAGGGTTTTGTTCAAGCTTCAGAAAAAAATTGTTCTATGGCTTAAAAGTCGCACCCCCAACAAGATTAGAAATTTGGCAATTATCTGACTTTTGACTTTGAGGTGAAGGTCATCAAGTACAGCTCAACTTCATTGGCTGATGCAGGTATACTTCAGGTTTAATAAATAAAAGAGCACCGCCAGGGGCAGCATATCTCCTCGAAAAAAATCAAATCTCCATTTACAAGTTACAGTAAAGACCAGTGGAGTGGATCTGCCAGGCTATCGATACACCAATGACAATAAGGTTTCAAGTTAACAGTCGGAGAAGCAAAATTCGATTATAACTCCTTCACCCCTGAAGACACATTTTAACTCTTCCAGTTCAAAGGTTGGAATGGTTCATTATAGAATTTAAGGGGTGAATGAGTTCAGCAAAGGTGACCTTTACTTCTCACTTCTCAGCCCTAAATCGATAAGTTAATTTGCAATCACTCGGGCATCTAATACACCAAGTTTGAACTTTGTATTGGGTTACATTTTTAAGTTATAATCAGGATAAACACAAAGAAACAAAATTCTATTTTTTCATTATTAACAACAGTGACTGTAACCTCTTACAGACCACATAAAAAAACAAGAGTTTTTTTTTTACTTTTTCTAGGGCAACCCACACACTAAGTGTGAATTTTGTATGATCGTTTTTTTCTCAAGTTATCATCTGGATAAGCCAAAACCAAGCGAAATTCTATTGCTAGCAATGGTGACCTTGACCTCTGGACCTTACATTCACTTGAGGAATCCATACAACAAAGGATTTGGAGCATTATGGGTCAATTCAAAAATTTTAATTTAAATTCATTTACCAATTTCTGCTACATGTATAAACATCATATTGGGCTATCTTTCTTGGTGTAGATTTTTTCAATGTGCATGCGTAGATGCCCTACCACAGCAACAAAACTGTGTTGCTTTGCAGAAATAGCCAAAATATGGTGTTTTTGGACAGTTAACATGCAGAAATGAAAGCCTCCGCATGTGACAAACAAAAATTCCTTTCTACGAATGAACACTGGTATGACAATGAACACTGGTATAACAATGAACACTGGTATGACAATGGACACTGGTATGACAATGAACACTAGTATGACAATGTTTAAGCATGTCAGATAATCATTTGTTTGGTGTATGCAGAGGCTTTCAAAAGTTGAAGAGTGCTTAGTTAATTTCCTTCAAAATGGCCAATTTCAACAAAATAATGCACAACAGACGATATTTGAGAATTATATTATGAAAATGCGGGTTTATGTCTCTCTTTTTGTAATGCCATATCTCCTAAACCAGTTGTCGAATGAATTCAAAATTTGATAATTGCATACTTCATTCATTCCAGATTACGAATATAACAACTAAATCTTACTCCCGGATGAGGCCAGAAACGTCCCTGAACACCCCTAGTACTTTGATTTTTGCATGATCATTCATGCTCAAGTTACCATTTAGACTGCATTACGGACATATGGACAGACACCGTGTGTGATCCGCATTTTTTTGGGTGGGGTGGGGTGGAGGGGATAAAAATGGTACATGTAACAGTTTAAAAGTTATGGCAAGGACAAGATTTGACCTTGATTCAAACTGACATAATTACAGGACACCTTCAGTAGGTGATACAGGCATGCTTCAAGTTTCATGAAGAGTATACTTGTGCTGATTAATCCAGTGTTAGACATATACAAACCTAGAGCCCAGGCAGGTATCTTCCTTCTGGGTCTTTCGTCGTCGTCAGTGGAGTCGTCAGATTTCATGTCAGTAATGTCATAATTTTCACTGTTCCAAGACGGTTTTCTTACAGGTGTCATCTCATACCTAAAAAAACAATGAAAAGACATATATACTTCGGATACTAAACAACAATGGAGGGCAGGTGTACTAGTGGGGGGTGGGGGTTGGGGGGTCATCTCATACCTAAACAATAATGGAGGGACTGGTGTATTAATGGAGGGGTCATCTCATACCTAAACAACAACGAAGGGACAGGTGTACTGGTGGGGGTCATCTCAAACCTAAACGGTATTGAATTGGGAAAATATAGCGATATTTTCATTAAAATGGGGGAATTTACCTGATTTTTTCTTCATTCTTGGAAAATACAGCATTTTAAAACCGAGGAGGTAGCCTGTATTTGGCTGTAAAACTAGGCAAAAAAACCCATTGAATATCATATCTAAACAAACTGGCATTTTACTATGTGATTAAAATTTGGGTAAATTACTGTACTTACGAGTCTGAATTGGTTGACTGTGTCATGTTATGAGTTGTGTTGAAGTTAGGTTTAGGTAGAGTGTTTATCTTGATCTGGGCTGGCCCTGTAACGCTAGCATTATGTTTAGCGATCAGGTTCTGAAGCTCAGCAGCCTGCCTCTTCTGCTCCTCCTTCTGTTTGTCCCACTTCTCCTGTTGTATCTTGGCCTGAGCGATGAGAAGCATTTTAAATGTACAAGCTCAAACAGATCTGATAACATTTAATAGGCAACTTTTATATTTGTTGCAAGACTTTCTTAAAAGTCTCTGATAATCTGAAGTATTTCAATAAACAGAAAGGACCCACCCATTTTTTTTAAACAAAGTGTTATTAGCTAGAGTGTCTGTACTATAATGTATATGTAGTTTACAGCTTTATCAAAATATTTAGATTCTACTACTGAAGAAGGAACTATTCTTTTTAAAGAGTGTTTAAATGTAACAGTAGTCCCATAGACAATCACCAGGAAAAGACTAGGAAAACATTAGTATACAGTTTACAACACACATGAATGCTTTAATAAAGAAATGAATGAACGTAAATTTTACAACTGAAAAGCTCATATTTCATTTAGCAACAGTTTCCTGATAAACAGGTTGAAAAAAGTGTCTCTCAAGTATTAAAGATCATACCATTTCCTTCTTTTTTTCCAGATTCTTTTTCAACAGAAGTTCACGTTCTTTCCTTTTCTCAAGTTCCAGTTTCTCTTTCTCTGCCTGAGCCATTGCGACAGCCTTTTCCCTGTAACACAAGAAAGCATTCTGTAGTACTCACTCATACATTTTCATGTTATAAAAGCCATTCAAAACCTGTCTTTTCGGAACAAATGTCAAATAAGCCATGTAATCCAAAACCTGTCTTTTCTGAACAAATGTCAAATTAGCCATGTAATCCAAAACCTGTCTATTCTGAACAAATGTCAAATTAGCCAGGTGATCCAAAACCTGTCTTTTCTGAACAAATGTCAAATTAGCCATGTAATGCAAAACCTGTCTATTCTGAACAAATGTCAAAATAGCCATGTAATGCAAAACCTGTCTTTTCTGAACAAATGTCAAATTAGCCAGGTGATCCAAAACCTGTCTTTTCTGAACAAATGTCAAATTAGCCATGTAATGCAAAACCTTTCTATTCTGAACAAATGTCAAATTAGCCATGTAATCCAAAACCTGTCTATTATAAACAAAACTATAGAAAGGTTTATTATCTGGAAGCCTACATTTATACCTGACCAAGCCCAAAATCATTTTCATGTCAAATATTAAGCTATGTTAGATAACACTTGTCTATTCTGAATATAACCATTGTTCCGAGTATTGTCGAGTTTTGACAGGTTCAACTGTTCTGATGAATCAGTGACCATTTGTTGTGTTGCTCACTCCTAGTATTTATATATATAACTGTATAGGAACTCTACCTCTGTTCTTTCTGTCGCTGTCTCTCTGCTTCCTTCTGTCGCTCCTCCTCTAATGTTTGTTTGAGCCGTTCCTGTTCTGCCTGACGTTCACGCTCCAACTGGGTGGCCCTCTCCTCCTGACGGCGCCGCTCCTCTAAAATCACTCTCTGCCTTTCCTTCTGTTCTTGTTCCCTTTTCTTCGCCTGCAGATCTAGGATCCTCTTTTCTTCTTCCTCCTTTATGCGAATAGATTAGAAATGATATCTTGTTTCAAATTTCATACATTTATATAGTGTGGCAATACCCTTCTATATCTCTTCTATGATAATGTTCATTTATTTATTACAATTGGGGCCGCGGTGGCCAAGTGGTTAAGGTGTCTGACATTCTGCTAGCCGTAGGTCGGTGGTATTTCTCCAGGAACTCTGGCTTTCCTCCACCACCAAAACCTGGCACGTCCTTAAATGACCATAGCTGTTAATAGGACGTAAAACACAAACAAACCAAACCAAACCAAACATTTATGACAGTATAACTGCAGTTGTTAATGTTATTTGCAATGTATGAATAACAGCTGCAGTTATTGTAATGTAGGAATTCATAGTCTGAGCACTACTGCTAGGATTGTATGAATGCGCATTTAGAAAATAGTTCTTGAAGAATCCGATATGATGGCATTGTTTCATATTTCACTTTGTGTGGGACACCGGGCCTGACGTCGGGTGTTCCTCAGGTGTTGTTCTAGTTATTGACCTGGCCTTGCAATAACCTTGTGAATTTTTGAATTGTAGGGCAAAGTATCAAGCGTTATTTTTGTTTTTCAATATAAACGGTATAAACGGAATAACAAACTTATGTTGCACTGTTGCCCACCATTCAGTTCATCTGTGTCGCACGTTTCAATTAAATCATTAGCTCTGCAGCAAGAATTTTGTTTTTACGGTAAGGAAATGTGGGATCAGTATTGTGTGATGCAGACAGAGAAATTATAAACCTGCATAGTGCTTCTTAGTGACCTTTTTCGTATATCGAGTCATTTCATATAAAGTCCTGAAAAGCACGCAATAAAAAATAAATGAACTCCAAAATACTCAAGGAGTCATATCGAAAAACTCATAATCTGCAGATAAATGGAACACTGCATTCAGGAAGAGATCTTTTAGGATCAACACTGATTTTTTTAATTTTAAAGGTAATAAGGGGAAGCTTTTATCATCAAGAGAAAATTGAAAATGATAAAAAAAAATTGTGTGTACCTGTTCCTTCAGTTTCCTAAGTCTCTCTTCTTCATCCTGTTTTCTCCTCTCTTCAGCTTCCTGCATTTTTTTCATTCTTTAGGATATGATAGAATAAAAGTCCCATCAACAACGGCACAAATAAAATACACCAGCTGGAAGTCGGCTTTAACATTCTATACAGTATAATCTGTCATAAAGCCTGCGGTGACCTGAGGTTGGACAAACTTTTAAAGCTACACTCTCGCTAGAAACTGAAGTGTTCTGCTGCCATGTTGAATATAAACTAGGCAGGACTTGGTTCAGTTACTTTTTAAAAAGAAAACAAGACATTTACCGGAAGAAACTGTATTGGTAGGCCCTATCACCAGTGAGTTCTTAAATTAAGAGGAATACTATATACATACCTTATTTTTTGTTTCTCTCGCTCCTCCTTCAATTTCTCCTCTCTCATGTTTTCTGTCTGCTGTAACTTTTCCACTCGTTGTCTCTGGATTTTGTTCTTCAGGTCTTTGTCGTGTTCCTGTAACAGCTGTCTCTGGTCGGCTGCCTTTTTCATCCTTTCTTCTCGTTTCCTAAAGAAGTTTCAATCATGTAAACAAAGAACTTTGACAACTCTCTAAAGACATCACTACGATTTTTCTTGATCCTGATTTTAATGTTCAAATATAGCATAATAAATCTTGCATAGACAAATTTTGTTTTTTTCAGCACTAATCACAATCCCTATATCCTTACAACATCTATATTCTAACACTTTGACTGATAATCCCTAGCGACAATATATTTTTGTATGATTTTCCCCCCTACTTATTACTGTTGACCACAGGATACCAGAACAACAATAATACTTTTTTGAGGTTAATCATAAAATAACGGACAATTCATTTTTGCCAGGTGTTCATAGGGTTCGGTACAGGGACCCATTTCCAATCGAAAAATGACCCTGCATTTTCCCAATTTCAGTCTTTATCTTCCCAATTGTTTAAAAAGCATATTTATACAAATTTCCAGTCATTATATGTTCAATGTTTAAAGTATTACCATCCATGAAGGAGCATTCAAAATACTTCAATAACAAAAATTTGAAACTGAACAAGGTTACCGCGAGTGGTATATAATACGCCCGTCACACATTGAATGAGCAGTTGTTTGTATGATTGAAATATATGAAGTATTTGTGAGTAATTGATATTAAAAGAGAAATCATTCAACATAACTGGTAGATCAATGAGTGCAATACAACATCATGGAACGCATGCATCGCATTAATGAAACCAAGGGAAATAACTCCACTAATTATGGTCGGATAATGGCGGTTATCGAGCTTGTCCGAGCTTTCAAGGTAATTAACCTTGTTGTGAAGTTTGAAGTTAATCCGTTAATAATTACTCGAGATATCGAGCGGACACTGTTTCGGCAAGTCCATAAAGGGGCATAACTCCACAAATTATAGTCGGATAATGGCGGTTATCGAACTTGTCTGAGGTTTCATGGTAATTAACCTTGTTGTGAAATTTGAAGTTAATCCGTTAATAATTACTCGAGATATCGAGCGGACACTGTTTCGGCAAGTAAAGGGGCATAACTCCACCAATTATGGTCGGATAATGGCAGTTATCGAACTTGTTCGAGCTTTCATGGTAATTAACCTTGTTGTGAAGTTTGAAGTTAATCTGTTAATAAATACTCGAGATATCGAGCGGCCACTGTTTCGGCAAATCCATAAAGGGGCATAACTCCACAAATTATGGTCGGATAATGGCGGTTATCGAACTTGTCCGAGGTTTCATGGTAATTAACTTTGTTGTGAAGTTTGAAGTTAATCCGTTAATAAATACTCGAGATATCGAGCGGACACTGTTTCGGCATGTAAAGGGGCATAACTCCACAAATTATGGTTGATAATGGCGGTTATCGAACTTGTCTGAGGTTTCATGGTAATTAACCTTGGGAAGTTTGAATTTAATCCGTTAATAATTACTTGAGATATCGAGCGGACATCGTTCGCATGACTGCCCGCTCACGTGATAACATAATACGTCCCCGTCTCCGACGGGCGTATAATAAACAAAAACACTGAAAATTGATGTTGTAGGACAACCTTAAGTTCATAACTGTTTCACACTTGGAATTTTACCACTTTCTGAGCCACAAGAATTAACTATAATTAATTAATTTCCGTCAAGACAAAAGAGTTTGGAATTTGATGGCTCAGTATAGGGGGGGATAATTATACTACGCAGCAGGCAGAGAGTTCAAGATCCTTTTCAAGGGTCCTGCATTAACAGCAAGAGATTCAAGGCACTCTTGAATCAAATACGTTTTTGAATATCTTGGCTAAACAGAATCAGTAAAAAAAACCAGCAAAATTTAGTAATTCTGTGAGAAACATTTTTTAAAATATTATTGAAGTCAACTAAATATCTATCAACCTCAAAGAGCCAGGCTATGAGATCACATGTAACTAATTATCACCGAGAAGTTCAGCGTTTCAGTTAAAAGCTGTAGATTCACCGGAATGTTCGTGAGGGCTAGACAGCCCTAGGCCTAATGGCGACGTCTGTAACTTGTCCTTCAGCTGACGCAGCCACTGATAAAACTATTCTTTCATCAATATGGGGAAACTCCATGCAGTGTATAGCACCAACAAGAAGATGAAGACCGAGGTTGACGTACATAGGTAAACCGGTGGTCTATATAACACACACCTACCGGTGTAAGGTGTAATATAAACCTGGTACTTCCATGATTACAGCTAAAGTATGCCTTTTTACAGTTTATCTAGGCTGCAACCTTCTCCTATGTTAGTTCAAGCATAATTTTAGAGTGAGCTAGTATCTTGAAATCATGTTGCTCAAAGGGTATAACAGTTACAGAAGAAGAAAAATGATGCAAAAATCGTTATTATACCCGTTCGGTAAAGGGTACCAATGCATTTCTTTGAATAACATAAAACAGTTTCACTCAAGAGTTCATTTTTAACTTGGGAGTATTCTCAGTTCTATGTAGATGAAGCAACCAAAAGAAGTTTTTCTGGCTGAGAGTAACTTTCCGTATAGTTTTTCATAGACTTCGCGGTCCATGAATTTGACCCTCATTTTGATGTTGAACTTTTATAATTCCTGAATGGAAATATTGGTAAAGTGAAGGTTTCGCTATGTAAATGTCCCAGGATCTAGAGAAGACCTGACAGATTTTGCTACCATTGGTATTTTGACCAACTCTAGACCACACTTAATGAAGACGGGTGATCATACTTGCGCTGTTCCTCAATCCTGATTTTCAGTAAGGCATCTCTCTGTTGCAGTCTCTGTTCATCTTTCTTCTGCTTTTCAGTCAGCTCTTTCTTACGCAGCTCCTGCTGTTCCTGGAAGCAGTACCGAGTCAGATCTTACAGCATAGTAACATTTACACAATTGTGTATGTCCTTAAAGGCATTTCAAATCAGACTTTATATCAGAATATTATCATATGGGTGATGCAACAACAGCCTCACTGTTATTACTATTCTTTTTCTTGATTTTTTTGAAAAATTTGAAATTGCTTTTTTTCTTGATCATAGCAAAACCTTCCTCATCCTCGTTATCCAGGGGTTACGTTCACTTTAGCTCTCTACACCCCTAGAACATGTCTTAGCAAAATTGAAGGCATGAAGATAGCTGTTTGATTGGTCTCAGGATTTTTTTTATTGACCAATCACTAGGCTGATACCTGTCCTTTGAAGATTACAGAGGAGAGATGACCGACTTCAAAGCCTGTCAACTTTTACCGTTACGTGATCGCGAGATTCTTTTGATGTATATCAAAGGATCGAATGAGTCTCCTTGTCTCATCAACAAGGTGGCGCACACCGAGCCTTCAATTTTGCTATGACATATTCCAGGGGTGTAGAGAGCGAAAGTGAGCGTAAACCCTGGATATCGAGGATGAACCTTCCTGTACAGAAGTTTCTCCGTTAAATATTTGTGTATTCAGCAAGGTTTTCCTCTATATGATTTATCAGTAAAATAAGATACCTTTACTGTAAGTTTGGCTGGCGACATCTTCTGTTTGATGAAGGACTTGGCTATGCCAGTTGTAAAGGCAGAAGGAGGAATCACCTTTGACAAATTGTTTACGAATGATGCAGGTTTTTTGGAAAGCTGAAAGAGAAGAAAAATCATTTAGATAAGCACCAATGGGTTTTTATGAACAAAAAACATGTCTCACCTCATAAGCTGTATGCATATATGCTCTGTACTTATTTCACCTTTGACCTAGAGGTGAAGGTCAAGGTCACTTACTAAAGTATGGGAAAAGTGAATATCCTGTGTACCTGGAAATTTTCCACCTCAGTTTAACTTTTATTGGGTTAAGCATTTTATTAACGGCTATAATCATTTTAGGGAATTGTTTACAAAGTGTGCACTGTATGCATGTGTACTAGAGGGGTATGTTGGTGTATTTGTAAATTATTTCCTCCCAATGTTTAAAACAACCCCCTCATTCCTTTAGTTTGAAATAATTCAATTTTTGTATGTATACAATTGATATTCTTCAACTTCATGTGGGAGAGAAAGAAATCTAACAATGCAGGGGTGTAACATTGCACAAGCCTGACACTTTTGGATTGTATTTTCGAAATAACTATGAAAATAAATGTTAAGCTGTTAGAATATTTCAAGGTTTTCCTGCAGGCTAGTACTTGAAAAAAGAAATTCTGTACCCCTACCATATCTAGTACTTACACATAATGGTGTTTTCCCTGCTGATCCAGTGTCACTACAAAACAGACATAAAATATGTTTCATCAAATAGCTCAACAGATTGAGATACTCCCAAAGCTATCCTTGCAATTATTTAATATTTAAAATTTACTTGTAATCTCCTAATAGTGTGCTAAAAATATCATACACTTGATAAATAGCATGCTGCAGCCCGATTATATTAAAATCCTGCAGATTTGTTTTTCTCTCAAAACAAAAATAAATTAACATGGTACTGTTTTAGCTGTATTTCTTTGGAAAAGTTGGGTCCAAAGCAGGCAATTTTAAACTCAAAAAGAGTTGGTTCTTCCCTCCATTTTCAAGGATTGTCCTCTATAATTGGAGCTACCTGGTGTTCAGAATACATATACATGTACTCTGAAATCCAAAATCAACGTGGAACACTTTACATAGCCAAAAATGGCACTTTTTTTAATTTGCCTTTTCTTACCTTGGTGAGCCTTCTTTGATCTTTGAAAAATCTGAAAGTTGAAAAGTGCACAGCTTTTTAACATGTACAGAATGAATAATTGAAAAACTTCTGTCAAGAATGATTTAAAAACAATTTTTCACTTTGAAGACAATTGTCACCATATATTTTGATGTGATAGTACTTTTTATTTTACTTTAAAGATCGTCATGTAAAGTATATAATTGTATGATTACCGGCACTGCTATTACATAACCTCTCCAGTTGCTCAAATGAATCTTCCACCTACAAAAGCAAAAAATATATTTAAAAATAAGCACACCAATTGTTGTCACGTACTTGTTTCATTCCTGGTCATATCTAATTGAACAACATCTTGAATACAATCTTTGACAGACCATGGTTTGTACATCATGATTCGAAGGAATATTAGAACTGAAGCACACAGATAACATTTAATAACATTTTATTTCTCTTTAGTTCTTTTTTTTACATCGCCAAAAAAGAAATATTTAATTTCAATCTAATTATTTATAACAACCAAAATCTAAACTGAAAGGAATAATTTTTTTGACACATTAGACATCGGCCAAACCATTTATAATTTGTACGAAATAATATGATTTGGTATTTCAATGATTCTCTTAAGGCAACTAGAACATAAACAGGCCTAGGTCAGCAAGGGCCCCACCATGTGCCTGACCATACACCCCTCCTCCCCCTGATCTATTTTTAGTAACAGTAACATTGACCTTGACCTTAAAAAACTTATTAAACCCCTATAGAATGTCTACATATCACTGTGTCAAATTTCAAAAGATAAAACTTTTGAATTCTGAGATAAGCGCCATATTTATATATACCTCCCAGTCTATTTTTAGTAATGGTGACCTTGACCTTAGAATTTGTTTAACCCTTGTTATACAACTGCAGCCATGTGTATCACCATATCAAATTTCTGAAGATAATCTCTGGAAACATTAAAAGTGAGGAGGGACAGACAGACCGACACTGTGAATACTAACAGTAATAAAAAATACCAATATAGGCACCCACATCTCTTATGTGGGTTCCTGATAATGCATTCGTTTCCAGTCTCACAGAATACTTCCAAGTTACATAGAAAAGTGTGGACCAGCTTTAAATCACACAAAGATAAAGAGATATAGCAAATAAAGTTTGTTTGTAATTTGGTTATTGTGTGCTGTATCTCATCTTTGAAAACCAAGGTTCTGCTCTGGATATACCCATTTTCTCTACGTATACGACCTTGGAATATGCAACGACAAAATCGAATTCCCTGTTTGCACCCCTTTACAGAAAATATCAGTTCATGAGTCTGGCATCTATTACAAAATCCAGCATACTGGTGATCTCTTTGACACAAGATAAAAGGAAGAGTACGAAAAAAATAACGGTAAAATTAGCCAGCTTCGATTTGATGTTGTTCCTCTGTAATCTTCATAGTGCAAGTATAAGTCAAATGAGTCATCAGTTCATATTTTTATATCAAGAGCCGGTAACTAACCATGAGGTTTCAATTTGTCATGAGATATTCAAAGGGGTTAGAAACAAGGCCATGTTTGTCGTGAGCAGATCACTCAGATTTTGAAGATGGCTTTACCTGTGATAAGGAGTACTCTGTACAGGATTTCTTCGATATGGACTCGTCCGCACTGTTGTCCTCATCCAGCTGGCGCTTCCTTGTCTTCGTCCTGAAATGTATATCGGGAAATTTTATTCACTTTGAATCCATGATAACTAGACCATGCTGAAACAATAATTCAGATAAATGTATTTTGTAATTATAAATATATCAGGAACACTTAGTTTGCTGGCAGATTTTGCAAATATTTTAACAAACTTGGCCTACATTTTCAAAGTCAATATTGAACAATTTCACAAGCCCAAACAGATATCCTACTGGCCCCAGATTCGAAGTCTCCCTACTAAAATTTTACTTCCCAGATTCAATAGTGATCAAATGCATTGAAAAAAGTCACTATTCTGAAAATAAGGGATGTGCAGCAGCCAGTTCTGTTATTTAAAACCAAATTTCAGGAGACAGGAGACATACAGACCTTGTGGAGCGCATCGGAGGCGCTCCAGGCATCAGGAACGGGTCGTCACCCTCGTCACTACTGACAGACACAGGTGCAACTCTGGGTTTGCGTGCCTTTGAGCGTGTACTCTGACGGATCTGACTGTCCCCGTCCACCTCCATCACCTCGTCATCAACCGAAGACACAGATGAGGCTGCAGTGTTTTTCCTCTGCTTCGTACGAGAACTGGTCCTGATGGGTGGCTCAGAGGTACTGTCCCCTAAATCTGATGTTGTTGAGGCTGTTGAAGTTGTTTGCTTCCGTTGCTTAGTTCGTGTACTCTGCCGCACTGGCACAACGTCTTCATTCCCCATTCTCTCATCATCGGCATCACTTTCATCCACCGAACTTGTAGTGGTTTTTGGTTTACGTATCTTTGATCGTGTACTCCTCGTGACATCCGTTTCTTTTCCCAGCCCAGAATCTCTGTCGAGACTGGAATCGTCATTGGAAGATACTGATGATGTAGCAGTGTTCTTACGTTGCTTGGTTCGTGTACTAGCACGCACTGGCTTCACATCTAAGTTCATGCTTTTTGACGATACTTCTTCGCTAGAAGGTGACTCTTTCATTTCACGAGGAATTTCACTTTCCACCTTACAAATATCTCTCGTATTGAATGTTGATCTACCAAACTTCGCATTAGAGTTCTTATTTTTCTCACACACATCACTATCTTCATTGTTCTTTTTATTATCCTCAATATCTGAAATGAGTTCGATATCAGAATCTTCAACATAAACTATCTGAAGGGATCGTACCTCCATCTCGTCAAAGGATTCATCTACATCCCATTTAGCTTTTGGTGTATTAAGCACTTTGTCTGATTGTTCACAATGCTGCTGATTAAAAGCACGGACATTTCCATTGTTTTCTGAATGACTGGTTGCCTTTGATATTTGTTGATCGGCAATAGCTGGAGACTCGACTGCAATCTTCAAGAAAGAAAGAAACGTTAAATGGACACCTGCAGAATTCTTTTTTTTCCATCTTTTCAGGTAATGTGACTGACATTGGAGGGTAGTGAATTATTTGTGATCAAAACTTTTCATGAAGGGAGTCGCATTAACAAAAATAAAAATAAAATGGTTTTTATTTTGAGTATATGAAGGGGATAGTTCTACAAAGAAGGGACCTATTTTGTCGGTTTTACTCACCTGATAATAATCTGCTGGGAGTCTGGATGTATTATATTTGACACTTCAATACCTTATGAAATCTAGGGTTTTAGGGGAATCTACCCTTTTTCAGATTTGGGAGGGAATTAAAATTTTGATACAAGGCTCTAGCGTCATGAAGGTAAAAGATAAATGTTTTGTCCAACAAACATGTGTGCAGTATAATTCAATTTTGAAACGTTCTAGTTTCCAGGTTACAATTGCAAGTTTGCAAAATAATATATTTTTATGCAACCAAATTCATATTTCATGTACGCAGTTATATTTTTGTTCAAATTATGTGAAGAAAATGTATATGCAGTATTATGTAACAGTTGAACTTTAAAAAAAACATGTATAGGGGAAATATTTTAAAGAAAAAAACACTATTTTCTTGTTGAAATAGGGGAATTTTGAAGCACAAAGGGGGAATTTCAAAGAACAGGGGAAATTTTCTTCTGTAGGGGAAACTACCCATAAACAGTAGTGAATTAAGTCTAAATTGTAAACAATCATTTTAGGATTCAATCATGAGAAGCATATTTTTGAAATTTTCTTGAATTCATTTTTATATATGAAAAATAACACTGAATTTAATATACAGTAATAGATAAATGATCATTTAGTTAGATTCAAGGCTAATTTTGAACCTTTCAAGACATTTCTGTTAAATTTAGGGGGCTTTTAGGGCCTCTAACCCTTCGTTTTCCCCCCCCTTTTCAATGTCTGATTAACCCTTCATTTTCCGCCTTTTCAACGCCTGTATGAACACTGCATTAAAGCATCTATTTCTCCCAGGTTTTGTAGAAGGGTAACAATCATAGAATTCAAATGATAATTTAAAACCCAACCATCGACAGAAGTAGTGAATAAAGGGTTCCCTGGGTTTGCTAGCGGAGAGCCCCTTTATCCTACTTTAGAGAACGGTTAATTAAACGTTTTTTTCTCCTTGCTTTTCTTATAAATAAATGAAAAGCACTCACCTCTTTTTTCTTCAATTTCAGTTTCGTGTGGACGATTTTCCTTTCAGTGGTCTTAAAGGTTTGTAAGAAAAAGAAAGCTTTAAACTTTGATAACAAATAAATAAATCTTTCATATAGTACCTACGATACACAACCTTTCTAACTGTTAATAAAATTCACAAATTGCAATGCAGATTTTTTTTTCCATTCATAAAGTAGATTTGTTTAAAATGTCCTTCATAAGTGAGAACAAGAGGCCCAGGGGCCTTAATAGCTCACCTGGTATTTTATTTTTCAATTTAAAACCTGCTGAGTACCATTCAGGTTTATCAAAGGAGTACAAGTAACAAAGTTGCATCTTCCATTTATAAATATTCAATTCCCTTTGCCCAAAGATTCTCTAAAACAAGTTTGGTTAGGTTAAAATCCCTTCAACGGTACAGAAGGAGAAGGATCTTTAATGTTTTCCTCTATTTCCCCTAATGGGCCCCACTAATCTGCCCCAAAGAAGGGGAATCCACACACCTCAGTTTAAACAAAATTGATTCTTTTCTCCCTAAGCATGCTTCAGACTGCATTTGGTTTAAATCCCTTCACTTGTATAGTAGGAGAAAAAAAATCCTCTATTTCCCCTATTGGGCCCCGCTCCTATGCCGCCAGAAGGCCCACACCCTCCGTTTATACAAACTTGAGTCTCCTTTGTCCAAAGATGCTCTAGGACAAATTTGGTCAAAATCCTTCAATTGGTTGAGGAGAAGATTTTTAAAGATTTACCTATTTTCCCCTATTTGGCCCCGTCCCTCTGCCCCCAGGGGGACCATACCCTCCGTTCATACAAAACTGAGAACCCTTTGGCCAATGATGCTCCAGACCAAATTTGGTCAAAATCCCTTCATCGGTACAAAAGGAGAAGGATATTTGATGTTTTCCTCTATTTCCCCTAATGGGCCCCACCCATCTGCCCTTAGAAGGAGGCCCACACACCTCAGTTTATACAAAATTGATTCTTTTGTCCCTAATCATGCTTCAGACTGCATTTGGTTAAAATCCCTTCACTTGTATAGCAGGAGAAAAAAAATCCTCTATTTCCCCTATTGGGCCCCGCCCCTCCGCCCCCAGAGGGGCCACACCCTCCGTTTATACAAACTTGAGTCTTCTTTGTCCAAAGATGCTCTAGGACAAATTTGGTCAAAATCCTTCAATTGGTTGAGAAGAAGAACATTTTTAAAGATTTACCTTTTTTCCCCTTATTTAGCCCCGCCCCTCTGCCCCGAGGGGGGGCTATACCGTCCGTTTATACAAAACTGAGAACCCTTTGGCCAATGATGCTCCTGACCAAGCTTCAGACTGCATTTGGTTTAAATCCCTTCACTTGTATAGTAGGAGAGAAAAAATCCTCTACTTCCCCTATTTGGCCCCGCCCCTCTGCCCCCAAAGAGGCCACACCCTCCGTTTATACAAACTTGAGTCTCCTTTGTCCAAAGATGCTCTAGGACAAATTTGGTCAAAATCCTTCTATTGGTTGAGAAGAAGAAGATTTTTAAAGATTTACCTATTTTCCCCCTATTTGGCCCCGCCCCTCTGCCCCCCAGGGGGGTTATACCCTCCGTTTATACAAAACTGAGAACCCTTTGGCCAATGATGCTCCTGACCAAATTTGGTCAAAATCCTCTGAACCATTCAGGACAAGTAGCATTTTAAAGGAAAAAGTTGACGGACGACGGACGATGCACCATGGGATAAGCTCACTTGGCCCTTCGGGCCAGGTGAGCTAAAAAACAATATGTATGATGATATTGTTTTTACAACTTAGAATTGTTCTATAAAATTAAAGTTATATAGATTTGTACAAAGAACAAAAGTAACAAAAATCATTAATCATTTGTGCAAACCCAAAATAAATAGATTTTATCATAAGGCCAAAACAAAATATGTATGATTCAGGTAACATGACTGAAAAAAATTGGGTACGTTTGTAGGCAAATAATGTTCATTGTTAATTTTTATACATTCTATTCCATTTCAAATTTTACAATGCATTTCCATCCATTACAATGGCTATTAATTTGTCAAGAGTAAGGTCAGATTCCCAGAAAAGGAAGAAAGTACATTTCAATGAGTGGCTATGAGCTTTGCCTGGCTAACAATTTAATCCAAGATACAAGTAGGAGATAAAATATCTAGGGTCGACAGTAAAATCTAGGGTAGGTCGGGATACCTGAAACACATCTTTTTTTGGCTTAATCACCACTTGATTCATTAAAAAGAATGAAGCTAAGAGAACCACTTTTGCAGTAATATTTTTTGCCTACTTAAGTTTCAAATCTTACTACACAGCTGTTCCAACTTACCGGTGTTCCGTTAAGGAACCCATCGGTACTTGGGGAATCTTGGTTAAAGGATGCAGTAGACACCATCGCAGGAATCTGCAATTGGCTCCTCAGCTTTGTCACTTCCAGTTTACTTTGAGAGGCCAACATTTTCAAAGATTTCCTCAAGCTGGCCTTGGATGACCTCCGTGACCTTCTGCCGGATGACCTACGTGAACTTAGTCGTCTTTCTTCTGATCCAATATGAGCAGAATCAGTGAGCGTGGTATTAGGTGTTTCCGCAATATTTGAAGTTGTTTGACTTATATGTGTTGGTGTTTCTTCCGCAGATGTTGCTAGATGTTTTCCTGGCCCTTTGACAGTGGCAGGGGTCACTGAAGGGCTGTTACTCTGTTCTGGAGTTTCTGGTACAGGTTCTGTCTCGTTGTCAATATCAGATGTGGTAGCCATGCGTGGCTTTGTTTGAGTGACAGGTGTCGTGCAGCTGTTGTTTCGTGGGGTTGTCGTGCAGCTGTTGTTTTTTGGTGTCGTAGGACTGCTTACCTCGATCAAGTCCTCAAACACGTGCACTTTCTCCTTTACATGACCTGGCCCTGCCTTCTTCATGCACGGACCTGACACAGCATGTTTTCGAAGGGGTGACCTTTCAGCAGGCATTGTATTGGGAGTTGCTTTCGTAACATGGAGCCTATCATTTTCTGGTGTGCTGACACTGAACACATGTGATGAGTTCTCTTTTTCTATAACTTTAATAATAGATAGCTGGGGGCCATCTTCAGAAATCTGTTTCTTTTGCCTTGTCTTGGCAGTTTTAACTGAAGAGTTTGACACGGTTCTGGAGGCTGCTCGACGTGGCCTTGCCTGCCTTCTTTGCTGATCCACTTCAAGTTCTACATCTATATCATTGTTGTCTCTTAAACTGAAATACAAAAGTAAGATTGTATCAAAATATACCACATGCATTTATATATATTCAAGCCTAAACAAATAAAAAAAAACATAACCTGTTAATTATTTAACTTTGATAACTTTAAAATGGCTTTCTTTGTCATTGAGTCAATCAAGATGTGGAATGTAAATTACATAATTACTAACGAAAACTGGGTGTTCCAGAGAGATCTTGGCATAACACCACTCATCCTCAATATCCAGGGGTTACGCTCACTTTCGCTCTCTGCACCCCTGGAATATGTCATAGCAAAACCGAAGGCTCAGTGTGAACCGCCTCGTGGTTGAAATGAGAAATTAGTTTGGTCCTTTGATGTACATCAATAGAATCTCGCGGTAACATAATGGTAAAACTTATTGGCTTTGAAGTCAGGCGTCGCTCCTCTGTAATCTTCAAAGGACAAGTATATAACGTATCAGCCTAGTGATTGGTCAGGTTTTTTTTTACCCAACACCAATCAAATAGCTGGCCGTGTGCCTTCCTTTTAGCTATGACATATTCCAGGGGTGCAGAGAGTGAAAGTGAGCCTTTCACCTGAATATAGAGGATGAAAAACTGAATGAGTGTCAGATGATGGAAGACAGATGAAACCATATTTGAAATGCCCATCAGCTGATGATGGTGGGCTAATAAAGTCAATTTGTATCAGTTGATTTTTTCTGCAGAAAATCATTAATTCAGGATTAGGGATTTTTCCGAAAAAAATGTCCTTGTTAACATACCATTTTTTTGTTGGTGGTTCAAAAACATCACTGCTGTCACGTTTTTTGGTTTTCTTCTTGCCCCTCTTAGCTGAAGGTGTCTTTGGCAATAACCTAATATCCGGTCTGAAAGTGTTCAAAATACATCATAAAGTGTTTCCCATGTACATCAAAAATGAAATGCACAAGAGTCACAAATAATAAACATTAATACCCATTATAATAATAAATAGTTATTAGATAATTTTACCCTATAAACTTAGCCTGAATGTCAAGTTTTTTCTTCTATAGAGATAGATTTAAAAATACTAAATTGAATCAACTTCAACATGACGCCACAATAAAATGACAACAATGAAACGTCATGCTGAATCACACAGATTATCATAATGAGGCCGAGATGTAAAAAATGTCAAATATTTGAGTAACGGTATCCATTTCATTATAAATATTCTTTTATCGAATGCTCAACCTTGAAATGAATATTTTTTTAAATTGGACAATAAAAACTGCTTACAGCTATACTTGTGCAGTATATTTTTGCAAATTTTCATATTTCTTTTACTGTTCAATGTGGATAACGCAAAATTATGTCCTGACAAAAATGGCTGTAAGACATGTCATTCAATGCAAAGAAAAGTGTAATGATGGTGTGTGTAGCATGGTAGCCATTTGGCAGAATGTGTGTTTAAACGAATAGCTGTGACATTTCTCGAAGTATTCAATGAATTTTGTTGGCTATGCATTTATTTTTACCTGTCGTATGGAAAATAAATGCTGCTTGCAAAACTATTTGATAAAAATTGTTTCCTTCCATTGCTCATTGTACACGTTGGAGTTAATAAAAATATGCTATATATCCTGACTTAAGATACTATCTATACCAATCTTATTGATAAAAATTCAATCCCCTGTCATTTAATTTAGTAATAAAAGCAGTGATCTGGAAAAAAAAATGCAGGTAAAACCTGAACATCTTTTTCAAAATTTTGATGAATTCCATTACTAAGAGATTAACTTGGTTCTCAAAAATTTTAGGAGTCTCAAAGGAAAAAGCATGAATCTAGGACTCATATATCCAAGTCCTAAAAATCATGGTTAAAAATGTATTACTTTTCAAAAGCTGCTTTGCAGTCTGTCACAATGTCTTCTAGCCATTGATGGAACTGTGCCTGTTGCTCCTCAATTGTCTGCATATATTGGTTGATGGACCGATAGGAATCCAACCCAATAGTATGGATGAACGATGTTGGTCCTCTGTTCATCCTGAGACTTTTGTCAGTCTGTCAATCAGGATGCCACCAAAAACCTACAAAATTAAAAAAAGTAATATGGGTTTAAACCAATTTTCCATATGCAGTTGGCCTATTTTACACCAACGTTAAACTTGCATAAAATGACCACATTGGCCTGTTGGTTAAGATGTTGTAGCACTTCAAAAAAGTTGCTTTTATATTTTATAAGGCTTCCAGCACTGAAGTTGAACTACAGAAATATTTATGTATACTGTTTGTTGCTTATTCAAATTTGATAACTCTCCTACTTTGGAGGACAACCAATTTTGGACCCTAAAATTTGGATATTTCTACTCAGTCAAAACATTCCTGTATTCTAAGATTTCATATGAAAGAATAACTGAAAAGATGTCATTCTATATATATATATAGTCGAGGAGGAATATACACACCTTTTATATATATTTTAAACAGAACCCCCCCCCATGGAAGTTGGCAAGCATGCTGAATATATGTTTGAAGACACCTTGTGTATGTTTATGTGTGCTGTGAACCATATTAGTATAGCATATTCTTATACATAATTACATGTGTATTTGAGACATTTGTAACGAACCCCTGTGAATTAATGTTATTTTCCCGTGCGGAGTATGCCTACTCCGTCTGTGTTCGCTGCACAGTGGATCCTTCGAAACGATATAGATGAAAGAGGATATATCATATCTGAATTCTGTTAACGTACAACCATTATTTCTGATAAAGAAACAAACAATCATGCTCACTGGCATTTGACTGGCGGGAATGTATACTACTGTACACTGCTCTTTCAGAAATACACAATCTCAACGCATTCTAAAGACAAAGGTTCTATTATAATAATAAAAAAAAAACAATATTTAACTACAATCCAAAAATGGTTTCGAAAAAGATATGCTTTTCGATTATAAAGAGAAATATTTGTAGATGTCTACTGAGCCCTCTTACCTCAGCTGAAGTTTAACTTCGTTTGAATTTCCTTCTGAATATTAGGATAAACATTTTGACCAATCAACACACGAGAAAATATGCGGAGCTAGCCTTAGATACGAAACTAAATGTAATCATAGAAAGAATGTGGGAAAATAACTGACACAATTATACAAAACATTCACTCATCATTATTCATTATAATTTTGAAGTATAAATACAACATTAGTTTCAGAGTGGAACAAAACACCGAAAGCAAAAGGGTGAATCTGTACTGTATCGCCATTCACTTCCGCCATTTTGACATGAAAACATCCTGTGGTGGAAGAAACTCCCTCAGCGATGTCCAGGAACAATGAAGCAAACTCCTTCAGCCAGAGTTATAAGCTGGTTGTAGTTGGAGGTGGAGGTGTGGGCAAAAGTGCCTTAACTATTCAATTTATTCAGGTCAGTGGATTTACTAAGTGTTTTCAGTACTGATTTTTTTTTACTTCCGTTCGTGTTCACAACTCATCAGCTGATCTGATAGTAAAATGGTCCTAGATTGCATGGTTTTATTAACGTTGTCACTTTCTAGATTTTTCATTGGCCATAATTTCTCTTATTCCCAAGATGTGCACAAAAAATGCATCGGTTCAATATTACACAACGGTCAATAGTCTGCATTGAAAGATGAAATCAATGTTCCTCTGGAACGTTGTTGTTATTCCTAATTTTGTAAATATCTGAGTTCGGCTGTCGGCTGGCTTAAAGTTTCTGAACTTACTGACACCTGTCCGAACTACCAAAGTGAGTTCCTGACCGTCTACATTTCTCTTGTAGATATGATAACGTATTTAATCACAAAGTTCTGTGAGGTGAAAGATATTTAGCAATAATTTTGCAAAACATGTTCTTCTCAGTCTTGATAATACATCTTAGTGAATGTTGATGTCTTGATATTTCGGCACATAATTGGTCTAAAAAGTGATGTTTCTGTACTTTGTTTTTTGAACTCGATAATATAAAATAACTAGGAAGTATATATGAAAGCAGTAAGTGTTGATTTGAAAAAAAATTCAAGGTGCGAAACAAGTAATCCCAAATTCTTACTGAAGCATCTTGATAATAACACGATTTACATATCATATTTAAAAGATTACCCAAAATTTTCTTGACTTGCTCATATTATGATAAGTAGCTGCGATAAGGTAGCTTTCTGAGGACGAGAGATTTTTTTTATATATTGCAGAGGAGTACGGGTATTAATATTAGTACTGTGTCAGGTTTTGACTGTACATTAAAGGATTAAGGTCACCTTCTAGATTCGAGCTAGAGGGTTCGATCCCCGATGGAAGCACACTATTCTCTTTCCTGTTACAAATGGTGTCTGTGGCCCGCCCTGTGGTGACAGGGAGTTAGAACCTGGGTTGTGGTGTTCGAGGGCGAACACATTTAAAAAGGGGGGAGTGGTGGGGCAGGTTTCTACTGTACAGAGGATTAAGGTTTGACTTCGAGCTAGAGGGAATTTCCATTTAGCTCAGTGGTAGAACGTCCGACTAGGAACCTGGAGATCGAGGTTTCGATCGATATCCCCGGTGGAACCACACTATTCTCTTTCCTATTACAAATTGTGTCTGTGGCCCTCCCTGTTGTGACAGGGAGTTAAAACCTGGGTTGTGGTGTTCGAGTGGAACACATTTAAAAAGGGAGGAGTACTGTGGCAGGTTTTGACTGTAAATAGGATTAAGGTCGCCTTCTAGCTTCGAGCTAGAGGGAATTTCCCTTTAGCTCAGGGGAGATCGAGGGTTCGATCCCCGGTGGAAGCACACTATTCTCTATTTCCTGTTACAGTACTAATTAATAACAAGCCTTGTCCAGAGTGACTTACCATGGAGCAGGCCACAAACAGTCTCAAATTCACCAGATCATAAGAAACAATTCATTTCTTTCACTTTAATATTACATGTATACGGTAGTCTCCAACAATACAACATTAAACATCATTAATATTAGAACACGGGAAATCAAATTCAATTGTTTTACGTGTGCATATAATTTGCTATGAATTTTATTAGCCTTGGCTTGTGGTCAGTGTCTGGAGTATTATTTGAAGATAGAAGCTAATATAAGTAGCCATAGATAATTCTGCTTATGATATAGGGATCTGTATATTAGTGTGACCGTCTGTAGTCAAAAAGGGGGGAGGGGGGGAGTCCAGTCTGTGATGTCAGTGTTAGCTGATACTGATCCATGAATGTAACACTGGTGGCCATCAGTGGAGTTTGGATTACTAAAAACTATTGTCAAGCAGTAGGGAAAATATATATTTTTAACATTCATGTAGGTAATCAGGAGATTTTCTTCACCAGGAAACAAAATAAAATAAATAAGTTAAATAAAGTGTTTTTGCTTCCAACCTACCCTATTTTTTTGTGGAGCCGAAAACAGGAAACACACATATATTTTTATTTGGCCTTACCTCAATATTCACAACAAGACTTATTACTTCGCCACAAATAATTTCCTGGTTTCATATTTAGTAGCCACTGTTTTCATATTGTGTCGTGGCCATGTATAAGGCAAGCTTTATAATTAATAGGGCCCAAATATTTCCTTTTGTTCTTATGTTTTAACACAGATGGGTAGAAATGTTTTCTTATTTCTTGAAATGAGTCTTTTCAATTAAGGAAATATTACAATTTTTGCAAAAATTAGGAATTACTACTCAACATAAACTAGGACAAGGGTGTACAATTTCATAGTTACAGTATATGTACCAGCCAACAGGCAGATTTAAAAATTTCAGCGATTCTGGTATATATAGGAAATGTTTACTAGTCTCAATATAAAATCTATTAACCAAAGGCATCAGTACACTAGCATACTTGCCAACCCTCCCTCATTTGGAGGGAGACTCTCGATTTTGGAACCTAAAAACCAGTGAATTTGGTAAACTATTCCTGTTTATTAAGATCTGATGAATTCATCTGAGATAACAGCTAAAACAGATGCCAACGGAAAGTGTTATTTTTTCCTAACAGGTACTTACACACACACTTTTATATGCTTTTAATTCTGGGCAATGTAATCTCTCGCGGAAATTTAAAAAAGTTGGCAAGTGTACACTAATGGAAATGAATTAAAACAATTACTCCGGCTGAAGATATCACTTGTAATATTTTTAAGAAAAATAAATTACAATGATGCATCACAATTTTATTTGAAATATTTGCTAATATTCCTCATTTTTACAAGAAAAAAAAAACCTGAAAAAAATAACCAGCATAAATAGTCCCAGTTCACAACTTTAGACTTTGTCTCATTGATCTCATTGCCAGTAGGAAACCAAAAACTCCAAGGTGAAAATCAAAGTGAAGAAATGAAAAACAATAGAGATCAATTATGTACCAGAAAATATTACACTTTTCTATTAATCATAAGATTTTGAACTGTCTCATTCTCATAAAAACTAATGATCTATTCTTTTATTTTGCTTCTTTTGTAAAACTTTAATGAAGACATAATAGAATTCCTTAAATTTGCTGTTTGGATGTAATCAATTTACATATTTCAGTTTGTGTATCACAGCTGTATGTGAATCAATATCAGCATTTCTCAATACAGTTGTGAGTACACAACAAGGAAAACACTACATGGTCTTACGTCTAAAGGAAATAGTAATTGTATACGTTTAAGATCCTATCTGTTTTAAGTACAGTAAACCAGGATGTGAAATTACAATAGCCTGACCAGGGGTCGACAGTCAAGGTACTTCAGGATAAATAAAAATCTGCATAAAGCCAAAAATCTCATTCTGAGGAGGTAACTTAGACCATAAAGTTATCATTGAGACTCCCCCCCCTCGTCTTGTGTAAAGCAACCAGATTGAATTCGTGCATATTTTTGTTATTTGTAATGAGAATTGTGTTGTGTTTTCAGTCGTATTTTGTGACGGACTATGACCCTACGATAGAGGACTCATACACTAAACAATGTGTGATTGATGAGGTTGTGGCCAGACTGGACAGTAAGTATATCTGATAGATACTATATAAGCCTTATAGATACACCCACACTTTTAAGGATTCCCGTACCACTAGCTAAAACTCTTAACTACTCATTGGAAACTGGGATTTTTTTCAGGCATGACTATTATTGGTAATTATAATAAGTCATTTTGGAAAAGAAAACCATACCTTGTGGGACTTTATTTATGGGGGAAAAAATAAAGATAAAATAAACAAAATGTGATAAACAACCGTGTTCTTTGTGTAAAAATTTAGTGGGGCTAGACAAAGCCCCGAGGCCATGAAATGAACTTGAGTCTAAACTTGTCTAAAGTTTTGACTAAGCCAATCACAAATAACGTCATGAAAAGTGAAGTCATACGTGAGTGGCTAAGCAACAACTTAAGTCTCAGATTGTTTCATGATCCCTGGGCCAGGATTCGTACACTGGACTTCAGATTGTTATATTATCGCTCAAAATTACCAACTAAGCTAACTGGTCTGTTGAAATGTCTTGGCCCAACTGTGCTACAGTTCAGTTATACCCAAATTTAAAATTTTAGGGGACGGAGGTTACTGGTTATACAACAACAACAACAAAAACACAGTGCAGTGGGACAGGAATCCTTAACTCACCCACCCCTGAAATTTCATAATGAACTATTCCAACCTTTGACTTGGAAGAGTTCAAATGTGTCTTCAGGGGTGAATGAGTTAACCATCAAATTATAATACAAACACCCTATTGTCTTAGTTTTAGATTTATTTTGGTTATCATTTTGGGAAAACATGGCTCTTTTTGGCTGGTGGGAGTATCTGCAAAGCAAAGGCAATATCGTGACTGCATGTACAGTATAGGTCACATATGCTTGACAGTCATTGCTTGCATTTATGGTATTTCAATAGCCTATTAGATTTTAATATTTATTTCTTTTCCTTTAAAATCTAATTTAGTGGAATTTTCAAATTTCAAATAGGTTATATCTTATTGGTTATCATTTCGTTGACGATATTGTTAGATGTTCTTTGTGTTTATATATCAGTGATGTCTTTAATTTCATAATAAGAATTTAGCCTACAGGCAGATTTTGAAAAAAAGTACTTGCCCACTCTATGTAGTTAATTCTGAAAATTTGAACTAACCCTTGTGTAAAACCTACTAGTCCAGATGTAGATGGTGTTCCTTCCTACTGAATTTTAGATTTTAGGGTTTACTTGTTACGTTACGAATATTCTGTACCCCTAGGTACTTAGTTAAATAAGTCAATTCTTGGGGGCACAACCAACAGTTTTTGGGTTGAAAACCCTTATTTGGAGGTTTCTGGGAACACTAGTGTAGTGCCAATGGAACAGTAACACCCGATATATGTATTAATATAAAAAAGCTAGAATGTCTGGGTACATTGTGGGCTTATTTATTCGTGTACTGTGGTTGCAGTTTTCAGAATGAGTTAAGACTAGAATCTCTGTGTATTTTGTGAAAATGTGTGTGTTGTGAAAGTGTGTGTGTGTGTTGTGTATTTTGTAAAAGTGTGTGTGTATTTTGTGAAAGTATGTGTGTATTTTGTGAAAGTGTGTGTGTGTTGTGTATTTTGTAAAAGTGTGTGTGTATTTTGTGAAAGTGTGTGTGTATTTTGTGAAAGTGTGTGTGTGTTGTGAAAGTGTGTGTGTGTTGTGTATTTTGTAAAAGTGTGTGTGTATTTTGTAAAAGGGTGTGTGTGTATTTTGTAAAAGTGTGTGTGTATTTTGTGAAAGTGTGTGTGTGTTGTGTATTTTGTAAATTTGTGAAAGTGTTTGTTGTGTATTTTGTGAAAGTGTGTGTGTTGATGATCTTACAGGTTTTAAGCAGACATTTGAAATTGTGAAGGAACAAAAGTTACCGACCAGGCACCTTCACTATACACTAATGTAGATATAGTGTATACTTTTGGGTTGATATACCTAACACTATACCAGTTATACATACACAGACTTCTTGGAGCAATTAACGAAAGTGTAGTATTTCTGCGCGATGATTGTGAGGAGTGCTGTGTACATTGAACTTTCAGCGGTGTTTCCCACTTGATACAGGCGAAGTTTGTGAACAGAAAATGCACGTAATGGATTGTCTGGATTTTAGATGACCACTTTAAGTTTTTTAAGAGTCCTAAGTGACACTAACCTAGAAGCATATCAGCTTTCCTGCATACCGTACCTCATCACCATGACAGTGAGAACTACAGGAAGTGAAAAACTTGACCTGGTGTTAAACCTATATTCTATGTCGACACAAAACTTAACATTCGTTAAATTAGTTTTAAGAACCTCATTACCAAGAAACAAAAAAAAAATAGAATTGGAAATTTCCAATTACTGGTGATAAAAAATCTAAATTGTGTCTTACATTGATTTTTTAGTTCCAACAAGTTTCGTATAATACCTCCAGCAAACAAATTATTTTTTGGGGGGAGGGGTATATAAGAATCACCCTGTTCACCTGTCCGTCTGTTGGTCCATCAGTCTATCTGTCTGTACTTCTCATGTTTCATACATCTCTCAGTTCAGAGTCCAGCACAGGATTCAAAAGTAAAATTAGTGTAATCATGTCACCAATCCTGTCACCTTAACCCTTTCACCCCTATGTAACTTTAGTAGACTCTACCATGCATTGATATGGATGAGTCCATTATGGTCTACAGTGGTGAAAGGGTTAATATCTCCACTATAATATTATGCCGATCTTCTGGTGCAATGGATGCAAATTTAGGGGGTTAAGATTTATAAAGTTCAGGGATTGGTCTGTACATGTGCATCGTTTTCCTATAGACCAATATCTTAGGGCCAGTACCCTAGATAGGGTGTTGGCTTAATCCTGTAAAATAAATTTGCTCGATAGATATAGATGACCTAATTACCAGGCATGGGGTTATTTTAGGGTAAATATAGTGAATTTATTCAGTTAGATATTTAACTGTTATATACAGTAAAACCTCAATATAATGCCCATCATTTTGTTTGCCACCTCACTTACCGCCAACATATTGAAATTACCAAGCTCCCTTTTAACCTTTTTCCTAAGATTTCCTTTATGTTTCCCTCGATTTGTTGCCAAACCCCTTTATAATGCCAAAGTTTCTCCAGACTAATGGTGGCAGTATAATAAGGTTTTACTGTATATATGTGTTAGCTTATTCCAGGACAATAAAATAGATATAGAATAGATATAGATGGGCATGGCCTTATTTGCTGGGTAAATACAGTAAGTTGATTCGTTTTGATATTTAATTGTACACCACTTGGTTTCAGTCTTAGACACAGCAGGCCAGGAGGAGTTCAGCGCTATGAGGGAACAGTATATGAGATCTGGTGAGGGATTTCTGTTAGTCTTCTCCGTTACAGACAAAAGTAGGTGAGTACGTCTTATTTCTCCGTTACATACAGAAGTAGGTGAGTACCTATTATTACGAGTTGTCCTTCATGAGGCATCCTCAATATCCAGGGATTACGCTCACTATCGCTCTCTGCACCCCTGGAATATATCGTAGCAAAATTGAAGGCACAAAGATAGCTGTTTGATTGGTCTCAGGTAAGAAAAACTGACCAATCGCTAGGCTGATACATGTCCTTTAGAGATTACAAAGGAGAGATGCCGGACTTCAAAGCCTGTCAATTTTTACCGTTACGTTGAATGCAAGATTCTTTTGATGTACATCAAAGGATCGAACTAGTCTTCTTGTCTCATCAAAACAAGGTGATGCAGAGAGCGAAAGTGAGCATAACCCCTGGATATTGAGGGTGTTCATGAGGAGGTCAACCTTTTTTTCAGATATGAAACTATTGACATTTTGAATGTATTCCAGTAAAACAAAAACAAAAACCCATTTTTGAATGGAAAGTAATATGGCTTTGCACATAGCCTCTTTTTTTTTCTTGATTTTCCAAACCCTGTTTTCTCTTGATTTCCTGAACTATGTTTTTGAGAATTGTATCTCATATATATATAATATTTGTTTTGTTTATACTTTCAGTTTCAATGAAATCTATAAGTTCCACAAACAGATCCTACGTGTGAAGGACCGCGAGGAGTTTCCTATGATCCTAGTGGCCAACAAGGCAGACCTTGATCATTCGAGAGTGGTAAGTAGGAATGATCGAGTCATGGTCCTGACAAAGTGTTGTTATTTTTCGGGTCCATCAGAAATCCAATATGGCCGGCACGGCCGCCATTTTCAAAAACTATTTCAAACTTAAAGTCAAGTTTTACTGGGCCGATTGAAATGAAACTTTGTAGGAATGATCGACTTATGGTAATGACAAAGTGTTGTTATTTTCGGGTCCATCAGAAATTCAATATGGCCGCCACGGCCGCCATTTTGAAAAAAGTATTTCAAACTTGTAAACAAGTTCTAATAGGCCGATTTAACTGAAACTCGGTCTAGGGATGATCAGCTCATGGTCCTGACAAACTTAAGTTAACGTTATACTTAACTATTTTGTACTCAAATTGGTACATATTTCAACAACAAAAATAAATACTGTAGGACTCAGGTGACCGTTTAGGCCCATGGGCCTCTTGTGTCAATTTTTCACGTGCCCTGGGTGCTTATTATAACAAATAATGTACTTCTCTGTCCGGGGACAGATCATGGCTTAAAAATGAGGCATATGTCCATGTTATGTAATTTGTAGTTTGCCGGGGTAAAAAGTACCCTTGACCCACGTTCAGAGTCACAGGGTTCAGATGTGTTGAAATCCTATCAATTGTAATCTTTGGCCTGTCACTCCCAAAGGTGAAAGGCTAACCAAATTCTGTATATGTGTAAAATTTTCGCCTTTTTCACCCTTCACAATCAGGTTGAATTTCTAATGACAGTGAGTTTTAGTGCACAGCATACTCTTTATAGGACTTACATGTGAAGGGCGAAATTAACACTGGGCTAATGTTTTTTAGCTCACCTGGCCCGAAGGGCCAAGTGAGCTTATCCAATGCCGCAGCGTCCGGCGTCCGGCGTCCGGCAACTTTTTCCTTTAAAACGCTACTAGTCCTGAACGGCTCAAAGGATTTTGACCAAATTTGGTCTGGAGCATCATTGGCCAAAGGGTTCTCAGTTTTGGTTAAATGGAAGGTATGGTCCCCCTGGGGGCAGAGGGGCGGGGCCAAATAGGGGGAAAATAGGTAAATCTTTAAAAATCTTCTTCTTCTCAACCAATAGAAGGATTTTGACCCAATTTGTCCTAGAGCATCTCTGGACAAAGGAGACTCAAGTTTGTATAAACGGAGGGTGTGGCCCCTCTGGGGGCGGAGGGGCGGGGCCCAATAGGGGAAATAGAGGGTTTTTTTTCTCCTGCTATACAAGTGAAGGGATTTAAAGCAAATGCAGTCTGAAGCATGATTTGGGACAAAAGAATCAATTTTGTATAAACTGAGGTGTGTGGGCCCCCTTCTAGGGGCAGATGGGTGAGGCCCATTAGGGGAAATAGAGGAAAACATCAAAGATCCTTCTCCTTTTGTACCGATGAAGGGATTTTGACCAAATTTGGTCTGGAGTATCATTAGCCAAAGGGTTCTCAGTTTTGGTTAAAAGGAGGGTATGGTCNGAGTGGGACCCATTAGGGTAAATAAAGGAAAATATTTTCCCTTCTGTACAAATGAAGGGATTTAAACCAAATGTGATCTGAAGCATGCTTAGGGGAAAAAAACTCAATTTGTTTAATTTGTATAAAAAGGAAAAGGTGCATGTGAGGCCCAATAGGGGAAATAGAGGGAAATTGGGACATAACATAAAAACTCATTTTCTTGTTGTCTTTCCCACCAAAACAGATTTATATGTAGTTCTTTTTGCAACTTTGTTTCTTGTACTCCTTTGATAAACCTGAATGGTACTCAGCAGGTTTTAAATTGAAAAATAAAATACCAGGTGAGCTATTAAGGCCCCTGGGCCTCTTGTTTACATTAGAAAAAAATCAGGTATATTGTAATTTTCATTTACCTTGCCAAGTAACCAAGGTTACTGTGTGAATTACGTTGAAAAAATTCAAACCATTCCTTCCAAAAAACTATGCAAATACTAGCAAAGAACTCCGAAATAAGTCAGCTCCCAACTTTCGGTATATCTTTTTTTCCATGGTAGGGGGCATATTTGCAGCAAAATATGATACCAGAACCTAATTAATACTTAAAAGATTTCTATACTGTGTATATATAATTATACAATTTTTTAAATTTTACTTACAGGTGAGTCGGGAAGAAGGCGCTGAACTAGCGGAACAATTAGGTATTAACTACATAGAAGCTAGTGCCAAGGTGCGAGTGAACGTGGATCAGGCGTTTTATGATCTGGTCAGATTCATCAGGTATGTGTTGCATTAATATAACCCTTTCACCACTGTAGACCATAATGGACTCACCCAGATCAAAGCATGGAGGAGTTTACTAAAGTTACACAGGGGTGAAAGGATTAACAAAAATGTTTTGTTTTTTTTACCAACCAAAGAAAAACTAAAACAAATAAGCTGTAGGGACAAATGAAATTAATTACTTGGTTCTCAGGCCAATTTTTTTCAAAATAGATGCGGCAGGGCAATATTTTTTTTTTCATTTTACATGGCAAAAACGAGACGAGGGCGATTTTTTTTTTATTGTGTAGTTTGTAAAACGTTCATTGTGGGCATTACCTTGTCTTTTTATGGTTGTGTAGAGACTCGTCATAGAGCAAGCTTCCGAAAATCCCCCCACGATGTTCCAGACGAGAATCACGAACCCTCCATTCTTATTTGTACCGAAATGAGCGCCATTTGTACACAAGACTAATAAGTCATAATCATTTTAACACTTGCCTGTATCTCAATCCTTACCTTTATTCAAACGTTTTCGGGACTTGGGTGACTAATAAGTAAAAACGACATGCGGACCAATTTTCCGGATTTTTTTAAAGATGGCGACTGGCGCATTCACAATTTTTTTTATTATTTTCACGATAAAATCGCCAATGCGCACGGTGCCATGAAATGGGCGCGGGCCTGAGAACCAAGTAATTTTTTTTTTTTTGGCCTAGTTGTAATTTTTTTATAAAAATTAAATTTCTTGAACCAATACCCTGAATTTTCATTTGTATATGAAAAACATATGTTAACATCAACCAATCATAATTTTATAATTTTCTCCTAACTGTTTTGAATTAAGAGGGGAAAAAAATTGTAAGCATCCAGATCTTAATATATATGAGTTATATACACAAGATTTTCAATGCCACAATTTCAAGGGTGTTACTATTGAAGAGTCACTGAAATTTTACCATTAAGGCATGGTTTTTAAAGTCCCACTACACATTAAAAAGAAAATTGTTGAAGATTAAATTATGATCACATTGATTGAAATTGAGAATGTAAAAAAACCACTCACCAAATCATACCAACAATATGGAAGTTATATGAGTAATGCTGATCTCATTACAGAAAATTTCAAGCAGAAGAGCGGCCTGCTGTGAAGCCGGGAGGTGACAGGAAGAGGAGAAAATGTACGATACTGTGATGGTTTATACAGGCCAGTGTGACACACACTCTGATTGGCTAATTCTTGGAGGATGACACAACAAGGATGGCCCCGAAGACTGATGTGACATGCTCTGATTGGCCAATGTTCGGAGTATGGCTGGTATGACATTCTCTGATTGGCCAATATTCGGAGGATGGCTGGTATGACATTCTCTGATTTGGCCAATGTTCGGAGGATGGCTGGTATGACATTCTCTGATTGGCTTATCAATGGAGGATGTTGCATTAGGGACGATTCACCAAAAAGACTAGTGTGATGTTCTCTGATTGGTTTATGATTGGAGGATGTCACAATAGGGACCACCCCCTCCCGCCCCCTTTTCCTGAGGCTAGTATAACATGCTCTGATTGGCTGGCAGACTCAGATGTCTTGTGAGTGTCTGTCACAGGAGGTTGTCGTCCGGGCTACAAAATCTGCCTTCCAAATACCCGGTTCATTGTTGCTTACTACACCTCTTGCAGAATAATCAGGAAACTCATTTTTTTTATCTCACATCTATTATGCAGATTATTGTATGTGCTGTGTGTTTATTTGTCCCCAATGTTCAGCATAATCATAAAATCAGGCACAAATTCCTTGAAAAAGAATTGACTTCAGGCTTGAGTGTTCTGAAAGTTCCTTTTCCTTAGATCTGATTTTTTTATGAGTTCTCTTGAAATTTTCTTTTATGCCTTCATTCTACCATAATTTCTAATGTTCATGATTACCAACAAAGAAAAATAATGAAATTCAAATTACTCCAAAACATTTCGTCGTAGCAAAAACTGTTCTTAAAAATGCTTGGCTTTATTCCAGATTTATGAAAATAGAACGTGTTTTCAGGAAATTTTCTTTTATCAGTTGAAAAGTTTGGTTCATGTACTAGTGTATATATATCAAAAATAATATCAGATGTATTTATTCAATTACCAAGTTAAATATAAAAAAATATTATGTCAGGAAATCTCGAATCTTGAGCTAATTCCCCTTGAGAAATCAAGGAACTTGTTTGTAGTTTGTCAGGTATCTAGTTGAGGAAAAGATTTGTTTTCATGATTGCTAAAACCGCAACTTAAATACCAACTTAGAACTTATATTAACCTGTCTTCTAGAAACTGTAAGGATATTTGAAGACTGTCAAAGATGGTTTAATTTTAGCTTTCTGGAATGGACTGCAAGTTATAAAAACATTTCACTATTAGATAATTGCAATATCAGATTAATACTTTTAGAAGATTTTCATTGCAATTTCATTTTTTGTTAATGTGTATATTAAAACAGTATTTAAATAGCACTTGCTTATAAGATTAAACAATTATCGGGAAATTTTATTCTGGACTGGCCTTTTAAAGCAATAAAATTAAGGCTAATTTTGAAAGTATACACAATGCTAAAATCATTTACTAAGCTTGAACAGACACACTTGCTTCAGTTATTATAAAATAAAGCTATAAAACATCTTGAATCTACTTCTCAAATTAGATTGACACTGTCCCCGACCTCTCTCTGGATATTTCAGTCACTGTCCCCGACCTCTCTCTGGATATTTCAGACACTGTCCCCGACCTCTCTCTGGATATTTCAGTCACTGTCCCCATTCTCTCTCTGGATATTTCAGTCTCTGTCCCCGACCTCTCTCTTGATATTTCAGTCTCTGTCCCCGACCTCTCTCTGGATATTTCAGTCTCTGTCCCCGACCTCTCTCTGGATATTTCAGTC